GACGTTTGCCTTCCATGAACCCATGGGGCCAGTGAGCCAATGCAGCACCTGGGAGAGCCCACGCCGACCAAGTGTTCAGTGTGTCTGAACGGGACAGTCAGCGAGAGCCCAGCCTCCCAGCCGACCGTGAGGAGCTGCTCTGAGAAGCGAACGGAGGGGCAGAGCTGTCTGAGGAATGAGCACTGTGTGGCTTGGATGCTCTACAGTCGCCTGGTTGAGCTTGGGGGGGAGGGAGGGCTTCCGGTTTGGAGAAAAAGCAACACTGTCCAGAGACTGAGAGGCTCGCCAAGGACATTTGGACGATAAAGTGCTGCAGGTGCAATGACGTCATGCTTCAGGCAAGGGATGACCTCAAAAAATTAATCGGAAATGCTGCAGGTGACGAACCAGGCTGGTGGCCGCTTCGGAAGGAAAAGTGAGGTCCAGCCGGGATGGCTGAGCAGCTAGTCTCTGTGCAGAGGCAGGTCCCCGGGACAGTCGCCTCTTCTCAGGGAGGTTGGGGGCCAGAGAGCAAGGAACTAACGAGGGCCCCTCATGTCCGGTCTCTGCATTTTCACGGGGGGACCACCTGGAGAAGCCACACTTTTAGTCTCTCGTGATCCATCGGCTCATTTTTCATGTGACTTGGAATCGTACATTTCCCGTCTCCTTCTTCCCAGCGGTTTCTCCAGCTCGGAGAACACAGGGTGGACCCAAGCAAACTCCGGGTGGGACAGTGAGGGCGAACAGAGCCACTTTTTCAAACTGGACCGGAAGAGTGTTTTCCCTACTTGCTTTCAGGGGTTTTCATTTAATCTGGGCGTTCTCATTAGCCTGGCGGTGCCCACATGGTTGAGGAAAACCTCGTCACACCTGTGCGGGGTCGTGGACGAAACACAGGCTGGAGGAAGCTTCAGGCATGCGGCCCAAGGACCCGGAGGTGCAGCCAGTCCAGAAGCCAGCCCTGCGACTCACCTTTGCTCAGAGCAGAGGACTCTGTCATGTCACCTGGAGGAAGGACCACCCAGGGAGCCCGCAGAGCCCGGCCTGCAGCTCCGTGAACCTGGAACTGTGGGCAAGAGGCAGACTCCCAACGTCACAGATTTGCCCCAGGCCTCTGAAATCCAAGGCTCCTCTTGTAAGTTTGGGGCACGTGGAAGAAAATGGTCCCAGCATCTGCGAGATTAGGGGGATGGAACCCAAACTGGCATCTTCCACAGGCTCCTTTTCAGGGTTTTAAGATCGGACAGCGAGGAGCAAGACGACTGTCTCCTTCGGAGGGAAGACACGGGAGCGGGAAGAAGATTGAATGGGAGTCTGTTGATAAGAAAGAAGCCATAGAAAAGCGCATATCCTGAGTCAAGTGGCCCCACCTTTCCTGAAATTCTGGGTGGAGGTTGAAAAAAAGAAAAGAAAAATGTTTTCAAACCCCAGGAGTGTTTGCAAACCCGGGCCACCAGCTAGCTGGTTTCAACCCCCTCGGCTCGTGCAGTGTCCTCACAGGTTCCGTCTGCTCCTCCAGAGGAGAGGACAGCGGGGAGCTCGTACACCCGTTCTCCACGGAGGCTCTGCACAGGGGCTCGTGGAGAAGGTTCCATGATGACCTGTTGTCCTTCCGTCTACAGCTCTGTTCTGGGATGGGATCTGAAAAGTCTAAATGTGGTTGGGATTGTTTGGTTTGGCACTGAGCTCGTTGGCGACCTTGGTTCTCCAGGTCTGTCTTTGAAAGACCAGCTCTCCGTGTGCAGGGAGCTGGTGGATTCCCAGGGGGAAGGGAGCAGGTGTGAGGTCTCTTACCTCTTTAGGAGGAGTGGGTGTGTGAGGGGTCAGTGGATTGAACAGCGGAAGTTTGCTCTGCATTTCTCTGCGGCCATTAAACCCCCCCCCAAAAAACAGTTCTGTGCAAATCCGTTGGCCAGTTTTCCTGAGTCCAGGTTTGGTGTGGGTTCTCCTGGTAACCAGAAGGAACTTGCTGTCCTCACCCCCAGGATCATTCACTCCGGTTGCAGGAGGGGTTGTGGTGGTGACTGCCACCTGGTGGTGCCACTGTGCAAGCCTCCCTCTTCCAGTTCAAGCTGGTCTACAGACCAGCAGGACTTTTCCACAGATTCATCTTCACCATCCCCCCGCCCCCTCCCCCTTTTAGATCCAACTCCTTCACCTTCCAGAAATAACTCTGGAGAATGTGAGTTCCCTGTGCTGGCAACTAGCGTTTCCTGATGGGGAAACGCAAGAAGAAGACGCTCTGGATCCTGGGACTAGGCAGTGGGTCTGTTGCAGTCGTTGGTGGGCTTTTTGCGTGTTTGTTTTCGTAGGTGTGCGTTCTGACGCGTCTCCAGTCAAATTGCCCCTGGATGGGGTGCACGTGGGCGCCTTCTGTGTCCCCCGAAGGAAACGTTGGTGCTTAGGGGAGTGTTCTGTGGGTGCTGCCCCCCACTGGATCCGCCCTTGGGAAGAGCACCCGTGGGGGGGGGGGGCCGGCAGGAATCAGTGAGGGAAGGTGGGAGACCTTGAGTCTGGTTGACCACGGGCCTTGGGGAGAGAAGGGGTACGATGCCTCTCAAAAAATGGTACAAACTCCTGAGACAATTACTCCACTTAATAAAAGGAATCTATAAATCATGTTATAGAAGGTTGAGTGAGCTCATCTTCGAAGTGCCTTCCTTGCTTTAGAATTCTTCAGAAGGAATCTGGGCGATGCTGCCGAGACTATTTATAGAAAATGCTCCACAGGGGAGGACGCTTCGAGGAAGAGGCAGATCTGGGTTTCCGCGGCTGCGTCTTGGCTTTCGCCCGAATGGCCACATGAGGATTCGGAAGCCTTCTCTGTCTCAGTCCCCTTGACGGGATGGGCTGTCTGGGTCCCACCCAAGTCCCGGGCTCTGCTGTTGTGGACAAAGTGAGTGCAGCCTCCTACTGGGCATAATCCTTTCTGCAATGTGTGTGTGAGTGTGTGTGCACGTGTGTGTGTTTCACGGATGACTTCTGAATCAGTCTCCCTCCCTCCCTCCCCCCTCCTCCCGAAACAGAGCAGGGCTCTGGTGGGTTTTCATCACTTGTCTGTGCTTTCTCACCAACGCCAATTTCTCTACTCACTGGCATTACCGACGGTCAGAGCCGGGAGGGGACTTAGAAGCTATTCTGGTCTAACCTTTCATGCAACAAGTGAGGAAACTGAGGCCCAGAGAGGTGAAGCCACCTCCCTGATGTCACGGAGATGGCCTCTGGCTTAGTTCCCAGGTTCCTCTTCAGAGCATTTCCCGCTGTTCATCGGTGGCCCTCTTGCTAAGTCTCGTTTAATCCACGGGTTTCTCGAAAGGACTGTTTGTCTTCTTCCTGCTTCTCCCAGTTCTTCTGAAACCCACAGCGAGCTGAGGTGAACACGCCACCAGAGCCGTGACAAGGCCTCGGAGGCCTGCTAAGGGGAGCTCGCCCACAGCAGGTGGACGCTGACTTCGTCTCGTGGCGTCACAGGTGTGACCGTCAGCCCCAGGGAGGGTCCGTGCCTGGTGGTCAGAGCTCGGTTAGATCGCGGTGGGTCCCCTAGAACATCGTCTCCTCTCAGGCTCCTCGGGACCGGGTTCGGGAAGGTACCGGGACGCCCCCGGTGGACTGACGCGGCATTACAGGACGTGGTCTGGGGCCCGGAGGAAAAGGGGGGGGGGTGAGGGCAGCCGGGGAAACTGCACAAGGATTCGGCAGACGTTTGATTTGGAGAAGCTGAAGGGTCCTGGCTTCTAGAGCCTCCAGCTCTCAGGTTTAAAACCAGCTCACGCCCCTGAAGGGGGCACACCCACCACGGGGCCGTGGGCCCGCGGCCCTCTCCTGTCACCTGTGGATTTCCACCTGTCATCTCCTCCGTGCTTTTCCAACCCCCTCAGAGGCGATGACAGAAGATGGAGAAACCTCTGCTCGCCTCGGTACGGAGGTCATTCCTGGTTCCCGGGGGACCAACCAAGAGAAACAAAAACAGGAACCCAACCCCCACTTTCCACCCCTTCCCAGGGATTATCAGCAAGGAGAAGGCTGGCCGGTCACATCACTTCTCAATGGACTCTTACGAGGCCTCCCACGTGAAGGAGAGCGTGGCCAACGGGAGAAATCAGTTTGCGACTCAGAAAAAAGTACGCGTGGCACATAGGACCAGGGTCAAGACAAGGAGCTGGGTGAGACCCGTGTCAACGTGGGACCTCGACTCTCAATGACAGGCGCCCTGAATTCTCCCTCTGTCCTTCCTCAAGGCTGCGCCCCAAAGTGCTAAGAACCACAACCATGTGGGGGCAGTGACTGATGACCCACAGGGACCAGCCACTGTGCAGCGCCAGGCCAGGCTTGGGCAGCCGTAGACGCCGTGGGAACTGAATCCAAGCAGGGGTGGGGCTTGGGGGGCCGTGGGGGTCCCAGGGCAGGACGGAGGCAGGCACAGGATCAACAGGAGCTGAGAGGAAGGCCACTGCTCTTGAGGGGTAACAGAGGACACTCAGCCGGAAGGGTCAGAAGATGACAATCTTTGGCCCGTGAAAGGACTTGGGTCGGCGGATGGGGCGAGGTCAGTCTGCTCCCTCTTGAGGGGAGTTGTCCACAGAACTCTCTTGCGGAGGCTTCTTCCGTGGGCTGGCGTGAGGACCTGGCCACTGGAGGCGGTGACCAGAGACACGTGCCGGGGGCGGAAGGACGACTCACAGGAAAGGGCAGGAGACGAGGCACGTGCCTGTCACGCAAGGACCCGACTCCACGACTCGCCTTTGACTTGGCCCTTGAAGAAAACCTCTGCCTGTCCCTCCTGGGTGGGGAAAGAGGAGCTGGTTAAGGGTGGCTGGAGGGAGGGAGAGAGAATGATCAGGCCCGAGGGCTGCAGAAACCACGAGCAGCGAATTCTCCGCTGGTCCCCGCGACACCTGCTTCCTTCCGACACTCGTGATACGTTGCGAAGCACAGTACTATGACCCCCACCCCTTGCCGCGTGTTATAAAATACAAACAAATGACAGAAAAGGTCAGTTGGCGGGCGGCCCCCACCGCTCAGAAGGGCGCGGCCCGCCGTTTCCGCCCCGCCGCGGGCCGGTGGTTGTAGGGCCGCATCTTCATCTCCACGAAGGGGATGGAGAACTCGTGGCCTTTCCAGTGGTACCAGTTGATCCCCTGGGAAGGAGAAAGACGAGCGTGTCAGACCACTCGAGAGGCGGCCGCGTTCCGATGGGGTCCGGGCCTCCTCCCAGCTCTCTCCTGCCGCCTGGGCCCCTGTGGGGACAGCCTGGTCGCTCCCGGTTGCCAGCTCTCGGTGTTGGGCCTCAGGGTTTGTGTGCACCAGTCGCTAGAGCTCAATTTCAAAACCCCAACAGCACAGGAGCAGTTTGGAGACAGTGACTGTGTGTGTGTCTCTTTCTTGCTGGGAGGGCTGCTGGTTCCCACCATCAGGGTCCAACCACGTTGGTTTGCCCAGGACTGAGGGTGACCCTGGCTGCTGGCTCGCAGTGCTCATGCTGGGCCAGCTCCAGTGGGTCCAGCTGCTCAGCCATCACCCCGCCCATCCCATGGACCTGTGGCCTCTCGTGGGGGCAGACAGTCTGGTTTACACCAGGATTTCTCGTCTCCCCCTTCCTAGAACACTTCTTAGGGGTGCTTCCTCCTCTCCTCTCCCTCTGCTCTGTCCTGCCCTCACCCCAGTGTCTGCACGACCTCCTCTTCGTGATACCCCTTTCTTGAGACCCTGAGCATTTCATCTTAAAGGGGATGTGAGACTCCCCGGTGCAGTTAAAACATAAAGCGAAGGGGCCGCGGTTGGCACAGCTCTGGGCCTGGCAGACGGGGCAGAGCCGCCCACCTGACTGTGCCTGGACTCTCCGTACTTCCCGTTGAGGTTGGTCCGGTGGCAGTTCTTATACCACCACGCCCCCTTGTACGACAGGGCGCAGTTGGTGACCGCGATGTCGTTGTCTCTGTCCTTGGTGGAGAAAGGGCGTCCCTGATGATAGCTGAGGGAGTCCCCTGGGAAAAAGAAACATTCGTGAGGCTGTGGCCTCTTTCGTCAGGATGTTCTAAACGCGTGACCCACTCCCAACCAGCCTGGCCTCCACGCGGACCTCCGACTGCCACCTGTCGGTCAGCCTGGCTGTGCTGAACCCCTGCACCTCCCGCGGGGCTCGGCCGATGGATTCCCCCTGCTCTCTCCCGCTCAGCTCCTGGTCCCCGACTTTCTGCTCAGAACTCTGTCCACTTGGCTCCCCTCACCCTAGTTTCCTCCAGGCTAGCACCGGGACACAGACATTCACGACTTCTTCTGTCTGAGCCACCCGGTTACCTTGGAAATGGGTTAGTCTGATACTTTGTTTAATACAGTCCATTTCAATGGAGACTTTATGCCCAAAGCGTGGTAAACGGGACCTCTTGTTGGGCCCTTGGGAACGGTCTGAAACATGAAGACCCCCAAAAGAAAGCCCGGCTTCTCTCTGCAGCGAGGGCCGGCAGAGACCGGAAGGCAGCACCGGCATGGTCTTCTCTGTGCCCAGGGGTGTCAACATGTGGCTAAGATTGTGCACTAGCATTTAGCCCTGGGGTGGGAGTGAGTGAAAGGACCAATGAGTCCAGGTACCAAACAACACAACAGAATATTCGGCAGAACCGGTCTTCTGCCACGTCCTGGAACAGAACCCAGGAAATAATGGGCCGAGGTGACGCAGCCGACTCAGGGTTATGTTCTGATAAAACCAGAAACACAACGGAGCTTCCAGGGTCGGTTGTTCTACTTAGTAGAAATGTCACAGAAACCTATAAAAAACACAGACGTGGCCACGGATGTGGTCCTCACGGAAGAATGGGCAGAAATGTGGGAAACATTTAAGGGCTGTTTTTTGCTCCTTGGTGAGGTGTGATGATGACTTCGGATGGGGGTACATCCCAGGATATTGGGGATCTGATTTATTTTAATTAGTTCAAAGGTGGTTTTCCTAGATGTCACTGTAGGGGAGATCTCTACCCAGGAAACGCATGATTCCGCCCTCTCTGGACAAGAGTCCATATTGATTAATCGAGACAGGAAGAATAATCCTTGGTCCTTGCATTGAATTTTGGTTTTTAAACATGAAAAGCAATTGCACTTAATTGCATCCCACCCCCCCACCCCCCCACTCTGTGAAGCAGGGCAGGGGGCACTGTTACAATTTCCCAGGTGAGGAAACTGAAGTCCTGGGAAATTGATTTCAGGTCACCCACGTGGTCAGGGACAGCGTGGACCAGAGCCGGTGAATCGCAGCCCTGTGCCCTGCCCATGGCGGGCAGGGGATTCCGGGGCAGCTCAGGCCTGGCAGGGGGCCCTGGCCCGGCCGCACGTCCGTGGGCCTGGGGGTCTGCGCCGGGGCGGGGTACCTGCCGTGCCGTTGTAGCCTCCTATGCGGAGTTTGTACAGGCTCCTGCTGTCCTCCACGGAGAACTTGTCGTAGTAGGCGAAGGCGGCCTCCTGGCCGTCCCGCATGTCCACGCGCAGCTCGTAGCGGCCCTGGGCCGAGATCCTGTGGATGTTGTCCAGCCCTGTGGAGAGGGGCAGACGGTGCGGCAGCCTGGCTCTGGCGGTTCGGAAGTGGCAGGAAAATGGGACTGTGGCCTCCAAACAGAGGTTCCGGGGGAGAGGCGGGCTAGCGGAGAGCTTTGACCCTCAGCCCTTCCCAGACCCTGGTCAGACAGACCGCCCGGCTCCGCATGTCCTCCTGCGAAGGTCAGCCAGGTCCTCTGGGGCCTGACGTCGGGTCTTGCCCCAGTGACGGACAGCCTGAGCCTCGGCGTCCCCAGCCCGTCCCAGGGTGTGGGGTGAAATGACAGGAGCCCTCCCATGGGCATGACTCCTTGGGCGTGAGGGACGCAAGCAGGCGGTAGACCCAGTGATCAGAGAGTTCAGGGCGGACCCCGGGGTCCAGGATATGGGACATCCCACCACCCCCTAGTCGCCTGCGAAGGGGTCTGTCTAACTCATTGTGCCCGTCTCTCTCAGCCGCCACGAAACTCATAGCTGCCTCCTTGGACAATCGCCCCGACCAGACGGGAGGCACTTCACCCTGGAAGCTACCCTCTGGGCCCTGGACCCTGGGCGGACCTCCATCAGTGCCTGGTGTGTGGGGTACAAAAGCCCAGCCCCCTGGTCCCCAACTCTGAGGAACAGTTCATGCTCAGAGCTTCCCTGAGGATCTGACCGAAGCTGCTCCCCAACCAAGACCACATGGTGACACTTCATCTCGCTCCCCTGCTCCCCTTCTCCTGAGAGCACCGCCAGATGTACCCCTTGAAAAAGAATCCTTGTCTCAGGCTCTGCTGCTAGGGAACCCGACTTAGGACATGAGCCGGGGGTCACAGTGTTACCCCAACCTGAGTATTGCTGCCAAACAACATAGGCCCAGGCCTCTGTTCAGGACCCTCACTGGCTCCCTGTGACCCACGTCCGCAAGTCCAGACTTCTCTCCCCGACTGGACGCTACACCTAACCACCTTTCCTTCTTTCCCCGACGGCTTGGCCGGCTTCTTCCCTGTCGGTTTGCCCGCATCAGAACACCCGTCGCCCCTCTCTGCTGGCTCCCTTCCCTCCTGCAACGCACGCATCCCTCGATGCCCCCGGGAGGCTGAACTGGTCCTTCTCCGAATATCTGTGGCCTCCTCCTCGGTGGCTCGCAGATCAGTAAGGTGTTTCCCAGCGTGGGATGGCATCTCTGATGATAGGGCAAATATTTGGGGCCTAAGGACTAAATAACCTTGAACATAAAAGGAGAGAGGTATTTCCAAATTCTATCGTTTCCTTAATAGATGAAAGAGAAGCCCGGCCGGTGCGGCTCAGTGGACTGAGCATCGTCCCATGGACTGAGAGGTCCTGGGTTGATTCCCAGTCAGGGCACCTGCCCAGGGTGTGGGCTCGATCCCCAGTAGGGGGCGTGCAGGAGGCAGCCAGTCCATGTTTCTCTCACATTGATGTTTCTATCTCTCTCTCTCCCTAAAAAAAATCAATAAAAATGTATTTTTAAAAAAGAGAGAGAGAGAGAGACAGGGAAATGGACCCTGATTTGGGACACAGGAAGCTGGCCACAAACAAGGGAGCGGTCAATTCTCCCCCAGGCCAAGGGTGACACAGACGGGTAGGATGGGCTCTCTGGGGCTTCGCATATACATAGGTGGACGCCAAGGTGTCCAGGGGAGGGGACAGGTGGCTGGGAGAGTGTTCCTGGCAGAGGAAACATCAGTCACTGCGAAGGGCTGGAGTTGGTGTTGGGCTGGGGGCCTGTGGGGAGGAGAGAGCCTCGGTGGTGGGGAGCACCCTCCCCGGCAGGTGAGAGCGGCCCCATCTCGGAGCCAAGGTTTGGCCCTCTCCTGGTGACGAGGAGTCCTTGAGAAGTCTTACAAACGGGCTCGCCCCTGAGGAAGATCATCCTTGTGGCCGTGTGGGCAGTGAGTGGCCCAGGAGGCTGGAGGCCAGTTGAGGGGAGGAAGACGCGGAGGCACGGATGAGACAGTGACAGGGAAGTGGGGAGGAGGCTGCGGATTCGGGACATGCTTATCGTCCCTTCCCCGCCTCCCTGTACAAACCACTGAAAACCCAACCAAGGGGAGAGGCAGGTCCTAAAGGTGTCTGCTGGGTCGGGTGTGTGCTCACCTCCTCACACCTGTTCGGTTCTCAGGCTACACCCCTGCCCCGTGAGACCTCTAGGAAATTGACCGTCACCTCTAACGCCGCTCTCACTCTCCTCCTCCCCCGCCAAGTCCGGTGATGACTTTCCCCGGAGAGCTGGGGCAGAGCGACCACCTCGTGCCCCCCACCCCGCAGGCCGCCGGCCGGTGCCTGCCTGAGAGAGATGACCAGCCGCCTGGGTGCTCCTCAAGCCCCCTCGCCCCCCAGACTGAGCCGCGCTTTGTAGTCGCCCCATGTCAAGACCAATCAGCACGAGAGACTATTAATGGGGATGGGAAGAGACAGAGCAAAGAGGAAAACACGCCGTAAGATAAGAACAGATCAATAGCGCGGCCAAACAGAGCCGGCGGTACTGAAAGCAATTCATAAGCTGTCAACGTCTCAATAGACGCGGGGGCGCTGGTGACCCCAGACGGACACAGATGGGCGTGAGCTGGACCGGGAGCAGAGCGGGTCTCCCAGGGACAGCATCACGGAGGCATTACCCAGCCAGAACTCATCCTCCAGGTTCCCGAAGCCCACACGGTACTCGGCCCATTTCCGGAAAAAGTCAGTTTGGCCGTCCTGCCGCCTCTGGAACACCTGTGAAGAGAGGGGAGCAAAGTCACGGGGCGCCCCGGAGAGGGTCTCTCGTGAGCAGAACTGCGGCCACTGAGTTTGCTGTCTGCAATGACGAGGTTCTTGGACAAGGACGCCGCGGTGCAGAGCGTGGAGTTTGCACGCCCGTTTTCGTAGGTAGTCCTCCTCGAAGTGCAGAGGCCCCCCCGGGTGTGCTGCTGCACGAATGTGCACCCCTGCCACAGAGGAAGGGTTCGGGGGGATCGGCCTGGCTCTCAGCGCCACCCCTTTGCGGCAGGCGGCACGTCTCACCACACGAGCAGGGCCAGCTTCAGATCAGCTTGTAACTGTCATCGTCCCGTCGCAGGCAGAGCAATTGCTTATCATTCACTTTCCGAGCTGGTTAAGTGCTCATTTCATCTAACCTCCAATACATCAGCCTCGGCTTCAATTTCCAATTATGCATTACGAAGGAGGCACAAATGTGTCAGAAACAAAATAGGAAATGTCTCCCAAGAGTGGCGGTTATGAGCATGGCCACCATTTCACTCATTTAAATACTTGTTTCCATCCGCAACTGCCCAGCTAATGCCAGCTGCTTTGGGGCCGGGCTGCGGGGACCCTCCCGACTGCACCAGGGAGGGGGGGCTGTCCTGATGGGCGGGGGCATCTGTGGGGCCACCCTTCCCTTCTCTCTGTCCTGAACGATCAGACACAAAGGAGGGTCGTCGCAGGAAATGGTGTCTCTGTGTTCTTGGTCATTGGTGTTCCCTGAAGGCTGTGGCAGCTCTGGGGACAAACCAGGGGGGCCAAGGAAAGATGGGGACATGGGCGGCCTTTGTAACTAGAGGTGGCTGTCCGTGCTCTGTCCCCCTCTGCTCCCTCAAATGCAGTCGTCCTATAGAAAGATCCTGATGGGCTCCCCACAGAGGCTCACCCCTCTGTCCCTTTATTATAGCTGCAGTTCCCAGTAGGCTGGGGCCCGCCCTCTCTGAGCCTCTGGTCCCTGTCCTGGCACCCCCAGGTGAGCTGTCCCTGCAGAAGCATCGCCCTCCCTGGCCGGCCACTGCAGCCTCAGCGAGCTGTCCTCTCTCTGCCCCGCCAAAGCTATGACAGGCTGCTGAGAAAGGGCTCCGAGGACAACAAAGAGCCCCCGAGAGGCACACGTGGGGCAGACGAGGGACGGGCAGAGGGTGCGAAGCTGGGTCCGCAGGCGCTGCGCCAGGTGGGCTGGACACCGGACGTCCACATGCCCGGAGAACAGCGCGCGTACTTACGATCCAGCCACCCCCGTCTGTGGTCATGTCGCAGTACACCTGCAGCTTCTGGCCGACCTCTCCACGGAGGAAGATGGTGTAAACCCCACTCAGAGTGTCACCATTCATCAAATGCTGGGCACAGTCTTGAGGATGAGGGAATACCCGGCCCCCTGCATAGGAAAAGAGGCGATTTCCAGCAAGTATCCTTTCTCCCGCTGTGCATGGGCCCCTTGAATTGGAGAAGGGTTTAGAGGGCCTGTGGTCCTTCGTCAGGAGCGGTGAGACATCTGCTCTGGATCTCACCCAGTGTGGGGGAACCCGGCCTCAGCCTGCATCCCTCCCGTCCAGCAGATGTTGCAGTAATCGGACAACATACGGTCTTATGGGATCTGGGGACAAACGGGCTGGGTTCACAGCCTGCCTCCTTCACTTACCTGTTGTTCAGCGTAGGCAAATGACCTTTCTTCCCAAGCATCAGCTTTCTCATCAGTGAAATGGGGATCATAAAAGTACCCCTCCCCCAAAAGGCGAAGATGGGTTCATGCAGCTGGTGACTGGTCACTCAGGCAATGAGTTGAGACCCACAGGCCACAGTGCAGCACGGGAGGGCCCACCTTCACCAGGACGAGAGGCAGCTGAGCAAAGCCGTCCGTACCTTCCCAGCAGCCGGAAGGCCTGCCCAGACCAGCTCAGCATCAGCAAGGAGACCTAGGCTCGTCCTTGCGCATCTCCTGATTGGACGAAACCCAACGGCCACGTCTTACAGTTCAGTGTGAGTTTAAAGAGGGGGCAGGGGGATGCGTGGCGGCTCATCTTTCAGAGAGAACAGCCCAATTTGTAGAACAATATCTAATTAGCTGAAAGAAGCTTAAATCACGTGTCTTGAAGAGCTGAGCTTCAGGGCACATTTCAGAGCTTAGCAGGCAAGGGAGGAGCAGAGATCCCAGCAGAGGGGCGCTCTGGCCTGCAGGAGCTGATCGAGCAAGTGAAAGGCCCAGTTCCTGGGTGAGCAGCAGCGACTGGGGGCCAAAAACCAGCATGGTGTGGACCTCACGGGCCATTGCTACAGTGCCCCCTAGTGGCTGTACCTGTGCACTGCAGGGTGCCACAGTGGGCCACTTGGAAAGCCTGCTGGTGGGTCAGAGCGAGGTACAGCTAATGCCACACAAGGAAGGATACATAACAGCCTCGTTGAAGGCCCAGGTCGTCTAAGGCACCTGTCACGGATCATCCGTGAAGTATCCTGCGTGGGGAAGGGGTCCCATAGACTTTACTTGAGGCCCCTCTGCAGATGAGTGAGGTGCCCCAGCACAGGGCTGCCCTTCAGCTCCGGACACCCAGGTCCAGGCTGGCTCCCACTGACGCGGGTTGGAACCAAGGCACGGCCTGCTTTGGACACGGCCACAGCGTAGTTCTACAGGACGTGTGCTCTACAAAGTGTGTTACGCATCGAACGCTGCACTCAGAGGGATCGCACGACTTCCTCCGGCCACGTGAACGCGAGTGTCTGTGCGCTCGGCTGGAGCAGGGGACAGGACACGCTGCAGTTCACGGATCTGCGTCCATCCGTGCGGCAAAGGGGGATCAATGTCCGTATCTGTCTTGTGAGCACACAAAGCCCAAAGGCTAAAGCGACCTAAAAAGAGGTCCTATGTTCACATGAAATACCGTTACCCCAGAACTGAAAACCGATTTCCTGAACAGCTGCAGAAATGCTATTAACTTCTATCGCCAGCATGTCCTAGGCTCACTGGTGCACGCCGTCCCACCTGGGCCTAGAGGTCACAGTCGCATTTCGGGGACAGCTGCTGTGAGCTCCTCCCCGCCCCCCGTTGCTTCGGGAACACTGCGGTTGGTTCCTGGCTTCCAGGCCATTCTCCGCCTGGGCTCTAGAGCAACCCGCCCTCTCACAGCCTGGAGGTTTCATTTGGAAAGAGCTGCACAGGATGTTCGTGGTCTTCAGCTCCCTCTCACCTTGTGCACTGACCGTCCTTCCCCCCGAACCAACTCAGCTCCGTACAGGAGCCTGAACCCCGCGTTTCTCCCCGATATCCAACGTGTATGTCCCCATTCACCTTCTCCCAAACCTCGAAACGACAGCCTCCTGCAGATAGACGTACCAAACTAAACCCCACTTCGGAACAAGTAAATGCACGATCTCCGACAAGCTACCTTGCATTGCTTATGCAGATTCCTTCATAGTTCTGTTATAGATACTTTCCAAAGGCTCAAACATGGTAGTTGCTTTCATTAGACCTAACCCAAACAAATAGAATAAATGGAGATGGCTCACCCTGGAGAAGAGAAGGTTTTAAATACTGGAAAGACTCATATAAAAGAAGGGTTTCTGGACTTTGGCTTCGCTGATCACAGAGACCTCACCGACTTCCATTCTGCTGTGTTCACTGCATGTTTGCTGTGGTTAGGACATTTTTAGGGAATTATCAGGGCAGATTCCCAGCATCCCTGGCCCTCTGGATGTCACACCATCTACTATCATCAGAAACGCACCTTTAACCCTGACATAGATCATCCCAGGGATTTTTCTCAAGGCAGAGATTTTAGGACCCAGAGCAACCTTGGGAGGCTGTCTTCCCTTCCGTGCAAAAGCTGGGGCAGGGACGACAGAGAGACTTAGTGTGTCTTTTAAGCACAGGCTGTGTTTATGACCAAGTTAAGAGGAAAGCAATGCCAAGTGACCGGGACACTGAAGTGTCTGATGGTTAAGTGTTTCTAGATGTAATTGTGAGATCAATAGGACTGGGGCACTTACCGGAAGAATCGCTCAGAAATTGGTTTGTGCTGGGCATCTGAGCGGAGCGGGGTGAGCTCCGGGCTGCACAGTGCCATGGGACCACTCCCAGGGGCTGGGATTCAAGGAAGAGACCTCTTCCGTCCCTGCCCGGTCCCTTCCTGTGCTGGGCTCTTGGATGCAGGCTCTAAAGTGGTCTGAATCAGTGGCTCTGGAGCGTGTCTGTCCACTGTCCACCCTCATGGCCTTGGCCTCAGGACCAGAATGGAGATGTCAGCGTCTCTCTGCGAACAGACCCGGCAGGGCAAGGTGCCGCTCCACAGAAGACGGGGGGCCACCCCTGGCCACCAGAACGTAGCTTGGTTTTCCCCAGAAGCGGGTTTGTGGTTGGCGGGTTTGTGGGGAGGGCAACGGGACCTGTTCGGCCCACATGGGCTGTCAGACCTACACCTGAGCCACCTTGACAGCAGCTTCTAATTTGTTGACCTGTTTATTCTTTTTTGTATGAGTTCAACAAACATATAGGAAGTGTCTGTTGGGTTCTAAGGACTGGGCTAAACAAGAGATGGAAACGTAAAAGAGAAAAATACAGAGTCCTATCTATCAGGTTGCTCAGACTCTGGTAGGAGAAACAGACAAATGTAACCCCAAATTCTATGTGCCCTGGAAGAGAGACAAACCCAGACAGCCATCGCAACACGCAAGTGAGCACGCCGTGGAGCCCGGGGCTGGAGCAGGGTGAGCGGTGGGCCTGGGGCGGGCAGGGGTGGGCAGGAGCCAATCAGAAAGGGCTTCTTATTTTAGGAACTGACATAGAGGCAAGCCGCAGATCAGTGGGGAAGGGTGTTCCAGGCCGCTGGGAAGGCGTGGCCTCGTCTGGGAAACGGCAGGGTTAGCCAGGAGACAGCAAGGGCGGGGTTGGAGGGATGAGGGCGAGACCTGGGGAGGCGGGCTGCAGAGTCCAGGGATGGACTTTGAGCTCAAGGTTGTAGAAAGCTTGTTCTCATGGGGGTGTGGAGGAAGAATCAGCGGGGGTGAGACTGGAGGGGAGACTCGTTTAGGAGGGAGTCGTGGTGGGAACCCAAGAGGAGAATTGGCAACAGACTTTGAGGAGGTGATGGGAACAAAGAATCAGCTGAGTCTCGACAGCGTGGGTGTCTTCCTCGTAAGCACAGTTGCTGAGAAGTTCCTCGAGCTTTGCAGACCACCTGCCTTCTACCCATCACGCATCCTCGTCTTCCCTTGGAAGATCACCGACAGGCACCCTAACCGTAGAGAACCGTTCTGACATAATTTGCCCTACTGTTCCTTGGACTCACCAACACCAGGAGACCCAACTCCATGGCAGATCAGTTGATCACAGACTGGCAGCTGGCAGCCTGGCCTCTCTGTGTCTCTTGATTCGAAGTGGCAAGGAGAGGGTTGGGCCATGGTAATGCCACTGACCTGGTCTCTTCTTGCCCCTCTGACCCTACTTGCATCCCTATTTTAACCAGAGTGATCTCTCTCTCTCGCCAACAACCCTCCAATGGCTTCTCCACTGCAACTGAAATGGCTTCTTGCAATGACAACAAAACCCCAAGCCTTACCGCACCCACAAAGGCCTCCATCCTCTGCCTCCACTTAGTACTCCCTTCTCTTTCTTTTAAGCTTCTGAGCACACCAAACTGACGGCTCCCTCTGCTGGAGTAATGACTCTTCCCTAGGCCTGAAAGCTCATCTTTGTCTGGTCCACTCTCATCGTTTATGTCCTCAGCTCAGGGAGGTCTTTCCTGACCACCCTCGCTGAGGCCGGGGTCTGGGGTTTGGGGGAAGGAAGTGGGAGGGACGATCAGGAAAGTCTTTCTATCATAAGAGCCGTCCTAGAGGTTAGCTCCTCACATCTGTCCCTAGTCCGTCACTGTTTATTTTTCATAGTCTCATCTCCACTTGAAATCACCCCATTTCCTTCCTCCGTCTGTTCCCACTGCCTCATGCCCTTGAATTAGGACAGTGTTTAGCCCGCGGTGAAGGTTCAATCAATATCTGTTAAATGTATGATATTATACGGGCACTATTTCCCCTCCTATGATTATGAAAAGGGAAATGAAAATAGATTTTCTGAAAACATTTGGAACAACACGACTGAAAATGGGCCAGATCAAGTTCTGTGAATAGTGACATATAAAGCCCCATGGCAGATGGCATTAGTGTCTGATTAAATTCCCCTTATAGACGGACCACACATCCCTGTCCAACGGAATAGTCCAGACAACTCTATCGAAATACATTCAGCGAAATGGACCAGTTCCTAGAAAATCATCGCCTACCAAAACTCAGCCAAGGTGAAATGGATACGCTGAGCAGCACTACAGCTGTTAACCGATAACGACGCGGATTTGCGGATCCACCATCTACTGTCCCGGAACCTAGGGTTGGCCAATCTTCACGAATTTTCACAACCTCCCAAACGGAAGCTTGTGTTAGACTCCCGGAGTTTCCCTAAAAAGCCCCGGAGACGGTTCCGGCCTGGATGTGGGGTCACAGGAGCAGGAGCAAAGACAACAAAGAGAACTTCTCATTACCCGTCTCGGGGACCTCGGCCAGTGATTGTCTTCGCCTCACCTCGAGGTCAAGGCGAACTATTTCACGGTGTTCAGCGCCCCGAGGACAGCCTTCAGCGAGCGCCTTGTTTGCGTCTCCCCGTATTAAAAGAGACAATGAAATCTGCCTCTCAGAAGACTCCCTCGCCAGGTCTCTGTTGCTCTGTGGGGAGCATTTGTTTTCTCATTTATATTCATGTCTCCAAAAGACAAGTAGACCTTGGGTGGAATTTCAGGCGACAGTAAATGATAAATAATGTATCCATGTTTTTTTTCTCTTCCACACCACTTCTATTAAATTCTCCGCAGAGTCTTGAGCAAACACCAGGGACCAGAGGACAGGAAGCTATTAACGTGATTGTTGGGATGAAATGAGCTTATGTTATAAGGCAGGGATGCGACCAAAGGTGGTTCTGTGGGAGCCAATCTTTTCTCTCTCTCTTTCATTTTAATTTCATTTTTTTTTTTTTAACACTGCAACTCTTTTCCAGGCCATTAAGTAGGCATCTGTTTGAAATGAGCCTTTTTCTTGGCCCTCCCAGGACAAGATGAGGATTTGTCAATGGACGAAGGCCACTTAGAGACCCAAGTTTAAGTTCTTTTGTTCCATAAGGCAAAGCTTGACAGGTGTTTAGAATGATCACGTGAGACCAGCCCGTCCTAAGAATAGGGTGATGCTAAGTGGAAAGCTCAGGGACTGTGGATGAAGATGGAATGGATGCTGGTTACTAGACTGAATTAGCTTCTGAATCTATCAGCCCTGGTTTGCCATCCCAGAGGACGCTCTGGCGTCCTCAGCAGGAGTGATTCACGGGGTGCAGGCTGGCAGCACTCCAATCTTTCCAGTAATGAAGATGCTCTGCTCTTTGTAATTGTTTCTTTTTTTACTTCCTCCTCTTTCTTCCTCCCCCTTCCTCCCCCTCCTTCTTCTTCTTTTCTTCTCCTCCCTCCTTCTCCTCCTCCCTCCTCCTCCTCCTCCTCTTCCTCCTCTTTCTCCTCCTTTTCCCAAGCAGGAGCCCACAGGGTGTGCTATGTGCCCCCCAGTATGTGGAGAATAAGTGAGGGTCCTGATGGAGGACATGGTAAGGCAGTGAGGATGCATCAATATTGACATTCAGATGACTGCGCAGGCTTAGTGTGACTTATCCAGGGAGCTTTGCCTCTGGGGTGGCAGAGAGAGCTTGAAATAGAGGAACTCGGGGCACCGTCCCCTGCAGGCAGTACCCCATGGCTGTGCGTCTCTGCGAGGGGCCTGGAGAATGCTCCCTGCAGCTTTGTTTCCCCGGCACCCCCTCTTCTGTGTGCTGCAGCCGGGATTGAACTGTTCAGTTCAGCCTCCATCCGGTCTGCCGTGTGCCAGGCTTTGCGCGAGGCGTGCTCAGGTGTGTGGCTCTGTCCCTGCACTTTTCAACCCCCCACTGGCCATTTCGTTGGCTCGGATACATCTCCAGCCACCAGCGACGGAACTGAAGTGTGAGCTTTGCAGCGAAACTCTGCAAAAGCTTCCCAACACGTCTGGACACATCTTTGCCATGTACCACTGGGGTAGTGCCGAGTACTTCTCTGGGACCCCAAACTCTACCTGCGCAGCCCCGTCAGTTCAAGAACATGGGCTGCTCAGCGTTCTGCTATCTTAGTTGGTGCTGCTCATGCCCCAGGAGCCCAGGGTCAATTGGAGTTTTGTAAAAACAATAAACAAACAAACACCTAATTCCACCCCGATGGCCCTCCTGCCACTGTCCACCAAACACAGTCACTACCCTGGCCTCCTCTTCAGATTCCCGTGAATTGTTAACTCTGCTTATTGGATCATGCTGAGCCCCCAGCTGGATTGGGGATCCCAGACCCACACTGTAGCACCCCCTCTCCCCCAGGCCAGCTTCACAGCCGGTAGACTTCCACAGCCCAGGGGGATCTGGAGCGACATGGCTGAGCACACGGGGGCAGCTCAGACTCACTGCCCAGTGCTCACACCCAGGGGCTGAGGCATTACCAGGGTGGGCGTGAAAAGCCCAAACTACACTGAACGAGCATGGAAACCCATGCATTTCGGGATGGAGTGATTGTACAGACTTCACGAACATGCAAAGTGGGGCTCTGTTTATGTTTCTGTCATCTGTGTCCTTTTTATGGGAAACACATTCTTAATTTAGTGAAAAATTCCAATCAGGGGTCGTAGGGTGGTAGCTCAGAGGGCCCCGTAATGCAGCGGTCAGGGAGCAGGGAAGGGTGTGCACGAGAAGAGGGCAGCACCCTGGTTCTGAGACAGAACCGTGGAAGGGCGCGAGGGGAGCACAGCGGACGTCAGCCCATCGGAGAGGCGAGGTGTCCGATTTCTCCTTGGTGAGGGCACCTTGGATTCACGTCTTGGTTGTGAAACCAAGGTTAATTTTTGTTTTCTAACCAAAAGTTTCTTTGAGCAGTGTGTTCGTTGGAGACACGTGGTAAGATTGAAAAGTGTTAAGAAGGGGAAAGAGAACTCGTTCACAATCTCACCATCACGAAGAGCCCCTGGTGACATTTGGTGCATTTGGTCCAGGGTCCTGCTTTGTCATTTAGAACACGTGGAGTGGGGAGGCCCGTGGTAGGGCTGGAGGCCTTTCCGTCTCCTCTCTGGGGGGGACACAGACTCGGGGGCACGTGTCTGTCCCGGGCGCTCTAAGATGGCAGGCAGACATGTGTCGAGGGTGGGGGGCAGGCTCACGCTTGTCCCCCACAGGGGCACAGCCACACCCCGGAGTGGGGGGCCGGGGGAGCATTCCGCGTCAGGACTGGGCAGTCCCGTAGTACAGCCGGGAGCGAGAGGCACCAGGGGAAGTGGCAGAGGGGATTGGTATCAGCCCAAACCCCAGAGCCAGAACAGCGGGGTCGAATCCCAGCTCTCCTACGTAAGAGCTGCGGTCCCGGGGGATTTAACTCCTCTCTCTGCGGCCCAATCCCCTAACCTGCCAATAGGGATAACAGAACATACCTTATAGGCTGTCGTGGGGTGACATTAGATCACACGTGTCACAAAGCCCTCGCAGGTTAGAGACTAGTTCATTTCCTCTCCTGCACATTAGGGCACTCCTAGCCCTCAGGGACATTTTCAAGTATCATGTGCGGATGCTTGAATGAGGGAGGAGGGGGACCAGCTGGATTTAGGAGGAAACCTTGGTTCAAGTTCAGACCCAGCTACTTATGAGCCATGGAAATGATTTGATTTCCATGCTTCTGTTTCATCGCCTGTGACATGGGGCCGATAAAGCCTCCTCCCCACTTGTGGTTAGGACTTTGTTGTGACTGTAAGAATACGAAAGTGCTCTGTGTACGCCCTGGCCGGTTTGGCTCAGCGGTTGGAGCGACGGCCTGTGGACTAGAGAGTCCCGGGCTCGGTTCCCGCTAGGGGCACGTACAAAAAAAAAAAAGTGCTTTGTGTGTGGAGAAAAGCCGTAGATTTACTAGTGCGGGTTCACTACTGCTTCCTTGACCAGGAGAACATCTGATTACAGGCAGCAGAGGGAAGAGTTAGGAAGAACTCCGCTGGGAAAACACCTGCCGAAAATCCGAACGGGAACCTGGTGCATCTGCTGGTCCAGGTGGACAAGGATTTGTGCTGCGGGCCCCCTGGATGTGTTGGGAGTAAGAACCGTCCTGGCAGGGATCGGAAGGGGAAAGGCAGGCATGGAGAAAATGACGATTTCCCTTCGCAGGGAGAGGCGGTTGGGGCTCTCTGATGGCTTCCTGCGGGGCCGAGTCTCAGCGGAGGCTGCTGAGCAGCCGAGGTCCCGCAGCGGTGAGGACGGCCCGAGAGAGGTGCTCGGTCTCTCACCTGTGGTGAAGGCGGTGGAGGTGAGGCTGCTCCTCTCGGTGTCCTGGGCCGCTTGCAGGAGCACCATGTAGTCCGTGTTCTCGGACAGGCCGTCCAGCCGGATCCACGTGTCCTCTGCATCCACAATCAGCTCCTGCCGAGGGAGCCGGAGGAAGGGAGATGGGGGGAGGGCCCCACCCGCAATGAGGAGCGTGGGGAAGTCCGGAACCCATGGCCAGCTGGGTCGGGACTGCAGTGGTCACTGTCGTCCCCTCCATTCCACAGTGAGGAGAACACTGAACCGACAGCAGAGAGGACAGCTGCTACCTCCCAGGGGCGCACCAGGGTAAACGCAGGTGCTGGATGCTCGAATCCGGTGCTTCTCTGATTGCACTGGGCCCCAGGACTCCCTGCTGCACATGCAACAGACTAGATCTGCTTCAATCTGTTCTGCACATTTAGCTTTCCAGTATTATCTTGCTTTAAAAAAGCATCCCACTGCTAACCGAGGTTTGACAACCCGGTTAAACTGTTTCTACTGACAATGTGAAACAGAGATTTGTCATCTCTTTGCAGTAGGCTGTGTACATTAGCCTTCTGAATGCTTATCAGGAGCCATAAAAGGCTGCTGAGTCTGGCATCCAGCTCAGGGTTGCTCGGCCCCGCTGGGGAAGACGCCTTTCGGTGCAGTGTGCTTACAGAGGCCGGGAAGTTCCCAGGATGCTTTGCATCATCACACTGGGAGCACAGCACCACCGAGCGAAGTTGCAGGGCAGACACCCCTTGTCTAGAGATGGTGCCAAGGCTCAGAGAGCTTTTGTGTTTGGCCTCTGTACAGAGCCAGGACTAGCACCCCCATCTCTGAAGTGCAGACTGGGGCTCTTTCCCCCCCGGCACGCCGTGGGGCCACCCTGGAACACCTGGCTTGCCCGGAACGGCCCTGGCCCTTGACCGGCGACTCTCACCTTGTGGCTTCCTTCGGCGGACTTGTAGGTCAAGACGTAGTTCTCAATCTCGGCCCTGGGGGGCTGCCAGGAGATCAGGGCACTTTGCCTGGTGACCTCACTGGCTGTCAGGTTTGCAGGAGGGTCCAGGACTGCAAAGAGGAGAAAATGCCAGGGGTGCCCTCCCTCCTGCTCCTCCCTGTCTGACTCCAGGCACATGCGTCTGTTTGCCCACCTACGTGGTCTCTGGGCTGCTCGCGTGCTGACCTCGGTTCTAGCTTGGACAGGAGCAGAAAGGGCAGCCCCAGTCTGCAGGTAACCCTTGAGGGTCATAAGCATTCTGACAGCTGTCCCCTACTCCATCCTCCCCAGGCCTCTGGGCCTAGGGGTGACTCTTCTAATCTGACCCTCTGTCTGAGTTCATGACCTTGCTACACCTGCACACCTGCGCGCTCACTCGAACTTGTAACATTCTCACATCTACATTTGTCTACTGTTGTTGCTCACTCGAACTTGTAACATTCTCACATCTACATTTGTCTACTGTTCTCCAGCCACAGCCATATCCGGCAACTCTCCCCCTAGTATCAAGCCAGATGCGTTTCCAGGGCCCCCTTGGCCCGGTTCTGCTGCAGCCACCAGACGCAGGACGGGAGCAGACAGCAACGTGTGTCTGCTGGCCGAGCTGCAGCTGACTCTCCCCGGCACTGGGCAGCAGTAGACTAAAGTCAGAACAGCTCATAGCTGCACTGGCCAAAACCGAAAGACTGCAAGCTAGCCCTTCACATGGAAACTGAGCATCTTCAGCATCCACGGAAGCCTCCGGGGATGCTGCTGGGCGGCTGACCACATACTCACACGTAGAGAAGTTGGTGCTGATGGTGCCGCTGGTGAGCGGCCCGCTGGTGGCGTACATGCTGACGGTGTAGTGGGTGCTGGGGAGCAGGTCGGTGAGCTGGAATTCCTCACTGCCTCCGTCCACCAGGATGGTCTCTCCAGCCACTGAAATCAGAACGTGAGTGGGGGTTGAATAAAGAAAGGCTTCCCCAATCCAAGGGCATTTCACAAGGGTTCCATGTTGGAGACTTCTGGGTGGGGGTGGGGGGATAATTTAGAGGTTATTTCATTGAGCATTTTAGTCCATGCAAGGATTCCCTCTTGTGTTTTTTGCATCTTAACGGAGAAAAATGTTCCTTAATTGGAAGCTGCATTGTCTTTTTTTGTTAACGTCTACTCAGGCCTCTGGAGTTACAAAGAATAAGCTGAATCCTTGGTCCGTATGACCTCTTCTCCTCACCCCTTCCTCCGCAAGTCCTCTTTTCTCTAGACTGAGGACACGAGGTTCCAAACTGGCCAGTCCTGGCTTCCGTCCCGGCTTCCGTCCCCTGGACAGGTAACCACTGGTCAGCGTCCCTGCTGAAATGCAAAACTCGGGCGAGGACTGGAAAGAATAATTGAGACGTTCGGATCAATGAAACAAACAGGATCAACCTTTGCTTTTCCTGGTGCCAATTATGCGAGTCCATCAGGGTTCGAGCGGCCACGGGCTGTTGTCACCAGCAAAGAGTATCACTAATCAAAGACCTCACTCATGAGCGCCTCCAACCCGGCCTTGGGTAGTGGATTTTGGGCATCGATTTCTATTGCTTTCTGCCTTGTGGTTGGAGTTTTGGACCACGGTTTCAGTTCAGGAAAACAGATTTGAGTTTGGATTCTACCAATCATGGTTTTGTTTTATATGCAAATTTGGTAAGTCTTCTTTGGACCCATCACGCTGTTGGTAAACCTGTGCAGGAGCTCAGGGAAGGCCCCTCCTGTGCCTTTAGAGGGTCACTCAGACGTCAGCATGTTCACCAGGCACTTCTTCAAACCAGGTGAGTGGGACCTGAGGTATCGAGTTTCTCGTGGTCTAAGGGTAGAAACGGCATTTGAACGAGTGCATCTGAACAGACTCCTTGGAAGAGCATAGATCACGCCACGCCCGGCCGCCAGCCAGTCCCCGCACACCAGACTCCGGCTGCTCAGACTCCTTGAGTCTCCCTCATCTCTGCAATGTGCACGGGCTGCTCTTTTTCTTCGAATCCCCCCCCCCCCATTCTCTTTATCTAAGATCTGCCTCCCTTCTCCCCCTCAACACTGGGATCCCAGTCACCGTGGCCCATGGATGTGGCCCATGGATGTGCCCGAGGTGTGTCATGCTTGCCCAGGCCCCGACAGTGCTCACGGCGAGTTACAGCTGCCCCCTTGTCTGCATCACCTCTAGGTGTGAGTTTCGTGAATCTGTGTTTTGTCTCTGAGCCCTTCTAGGGTTCGTCGAGTGAATGGCAGTGAATTGCTGTTCCGGTGGGTAGCTCGTCCGACTGCCTTAGGGGAATAGCAGGAGCTTGGCCAGAGAAGACGGTGTTGAAACGAAGACCCGGAGGGTGGGTTTACTAGGCAGACAAGTGGGGAGAGAATGTGCTGGTGGAGGAAGCAGGGTGGTGGCTGGGGAAGGCAGGCGAGGGGGGAGGTAAGAAACGCAGGGTCGTGCTGGGCCAGGAGGCACGGTAGAAGATGCAGCGGTCTGTGCGTGCACAGAGGGTCAGCACGGAGCCATGGGAAAGGGACTCATTCTCTGAGGAGGGTCATGCAATCCCACCTCCAAATATGACCCGTCCAGTATTTTCCATCTAAGTGACACGTGGGTTTCTCTAACGCCTTGCTGAAGGTGCTGAAAGATTTGCCAGTGACTAACAAGGACATGCAGTTGTTTGGGGAAAACTTGTTCGTGGGGAAGCTGTGTGGTGCGGAGAAATCGCTCATGCCCTTTCCTGCTTGTTTACTAGTCTGTTTTGCTCCTACTTTCCCACGTTCGGACAGTCAGTTCCTTTCTTTGTAGCCCACAGACCTGGCTTTCTCTTATCTTTAAAAAAAAAGTATTTATTTTTAATCGAATTTACTGGAGTGATACTGGTTAATAAAATAACACAGCGTTCAAGTGCACAACTCTATAATCCATCATCTGTACATTCCGTGGGTTAACCACCCAAAGTCAAGTCTTCTGTCACTATTTATTCCCTCTTTGTCTCTTCTCCCTCCCCACCCCCTTTCCCTCTGGCAAACACCACACTGTTGTCTGTGTCTGTATTTTTTTTCCTCTCCTTAATTTTGAAAATTAAGGCACCTGCCTGCCTCTGTCTTCTGATATCTTTGTTCTGAAGATAACCCACAACGATTCTGTGATCACATCCTTAATTTGGGCAGGGCAGTGATTTTTGTAGGCCGAGAGACTTGGACTCACTCCGCACTGTTTCGCTTTGGGCTTCGCGACTGAGTTTCAAACAGCGTAACGTGAACACGCGTGGCGAAGGCGACCCTGCAGTCGGATGCCACGTTGGCTCGGCCTTGTGGGCCGGATGTGGGCAGAGGAGACTAAAGCAACAGAAGAGTTGATTCGTTCTGGGTCCTTGGTCACCTGTTGTGTCTGTTGTCTGTGCCACGCACGGTCCGATAACGTCAGTGTTTTCTTGCTCTGTAAGTATCCGGACAAGTCTGCTTTCTGGCTCACGTTCTTCTGGGGCAGGCTTAGCTCCGTCCCGAGTCTGTCTCCAGCGCGCTCTGGCTCTGTACTTGCCCTTGCTGATGTGACCTTCTTGCTTCCTTCAGGGACGACCTTCTCGAGTTCCGTCGTCGATAGAGGGGACACCGTGCGGGCAGGACATTCTCAGGTTGACACAATGGTTTGCTTTTTTACTTTCATACTGTATTCTGCCCCACGCCCCGCCAGGCCCGCCCGTCTGAGGTACAGGCCTGCAGACACCCACCCGCGAGGCAGGTGAGGACGATGACGTAGCTCTCCACCTCGCCCACGGGTGCCTTCCACTGCAGCAGGGCTTCCGTCGGAGTGATGTTGGTGGCAGTCAGGTCCACGGGGTTGTCCATGGCTGAAACAGAACAGGAGAAGTCAGGCAAAGGAGCACCTGCACACTGGAAGGGCAGCCAACGGTGCCCTTAGACCCCCCACTGTGCCCCCCACCGTCACCCCGGACACACGTCGGCTGCTCTGCCATCCCAAACAATGAAATGAGTGGAGACCACTTTCTTCTCTCTCCTCCTGGTTCCACCAGCCCCTTCCTCTTCTCCTCCTCTTCCTTTCTCCCAAGAGCCCATTCTCCCCAGATCTCCCTTTGAATTAACTCATGACTGTCTCATGTGCCCAGCACTGCCGGGTGCTGTGGGCGATTCCAAGGTATGGCCATGTGTCTTAGGCATCTCGAGCTAGATGGGAAAACTCAGAACGTATGGAAGTTGTTCTAACACCTCAGTGAATGGGAGAATGTGCGTCGCAGGCTGCCCGTGCTTTTACCGACGTGTGTGCTTGGCTGGTACGTGGTGGGAGCTCCGTGGAGGCCGAGCGTCTCCAGCACCTACCACGCCGGAGGTTCTCCCTCAATCCTCCTGCAGTGACTGAATGGAACTGGGTTGTCTCCCAAGTCCTATCTGACTGCTGTGTTCCTGCTTCCTGCTCACCAGGCGTATCTGCCCTGAGTCCTGGGATCGTTTCTGTGACGCAGAGGGACAAGGGGGTTCTCCCAGGCTGAGGGTCGAGGATGCCTGTCGGGAGAGCCAGCTCTGCTTGTCACAGGCCCACATTCCTTCTCTGCGCCCCGTTTCATGACCGTGCCTCCCTTCCACGAACTGGGGGTTTGTTCGAGAAATGGACATTATTACAGCAGGTTAGGTGTCAGCTCAGAATTAGTGTCACATGGGTCACTTTTGCGGACCTAGATCTGCTGTGGATCCGGTCCCGTTCTCTCACGGGAGGTCTGTGCTGTTGCCTATGTCCCTCATTTCAAAGCGACAGCAAGAGAATGTCTTTATAATTTTAGCATCTGAACTGCATCCCCAGTCTGCGCCGCTAGCGACTCCTTCAAATCCATTGATTTGAGGAGAACAGAGGCAGGACACTCTTATGACACTGCATCAGCTTGATCTCTCTGAGCCTAAGCACGAGGTTCATTTCCCCAAACTGTGGCACCTCACGTTCAAACAACCACCACAGCAAACGGCAACACAACGAGACACTTCTGTGAGCGGTCTGGTTATTGGAAGTTCGCCAAAACAGCACCGCGGACCGGGACGGAGGGCGGTCCGGGAGGGCACACCGCTGAGAGACGCTGCTGTTGACCAGGATCCTGAAGAATGAGGTTTTGGCCCGAGTTTCTGTTCTCTTGTACCTTGGGGGCAGAGACTCTGGACATCCGTTTGCTTGTCCTCAGTGAGAAAAGCCTACTTTCTTTATCAGGACTTCCTGAGACTTTCAGGAAGGTGTTCTAACTCCAGCGAATGGGAGAATGTGCTTCTCGGGCTCTCTGTGCCTCACTGGGCGTCATTTTGGGTCGATATTTCTTGATACGTGACTGGTCACAGATAATTTGATGGAAGGGGTGAGACTGGACCAAATGCATGGTTTTCTGTGGTCACAGGCCTGGAAGGAGACTACAGGACATCAGCATCTCCTGGGGGGTCTTCAGAAGAAGAACTTTGCGTTTCGGAAGGACTCTTCATTGGCCATGGCCTTAGAGATGCTGCTTCTGCACGTGTCTCCAGGGGCAGTGGGGTGCTCCGGGCTTCATTCCCCTCGTTCAGGAAAGACCGTTCTCCGAGGGGAGCAGGTGACCTCGGTTAACCCAGGTGTCCCCCCATGAGGGGAGCTGGATGCTTTCCCACGGGCTAGGGGAACGGACGCTTGACTGGGAGGTCAGGTTATCGGGGCTTAGGGACAGAAGGCTTTGGCTGTCCCTCTGGTGGTTTTACAGACTGTGTCCTACTTCTGCAAGGTGGGCTGGCCGCGGGGCTAGGGAAGGCGGGGCAGTGGAGCCCGGTCCTCAGGCCCATCCAAGGGGCTCGTTTTCAGAGGTCTCTGCTTTCTTCCTCCATCTCTGGAGCAGAAAGCAGGCGCCAAAGCAGCTCCTTGGTGGCTGTGGCCATATTTGGGTTTCGTGACCCCACGAGTTGTCTCTGAAATAGCAATCCCTTCCTTCTCTGAGTCGTTTAAAAAAATTAGGTGGGGTCATTCAGATGTCTATGCTGAAATTCATAGCCATCATGACTCTCAGATGGGAAGTTCCATGAAAACCCCTGGCCTAGACCAGCACGACCCCTAGCGGGTCAGGAGGAGAGAGGACTGTCAGGGGAGGGAGAAGGTGCAAACTGCTTTTCATAGCAGTCAGGGGGCGCCGGACTGGAGCCTCCGAGCCCACTGCCCTCAGATCAGCCAGGACACCCTCCTCTGTCTTCTGTTTGCGCAGGTCCTCAGCCAGGGTTCCGACTTGGTCCACACCAGAGAGACATGCCTATCTGAACACGCAAGAGTGTAGACACGCCTTCTTCTGTGCATGAGAGTGCAGATGTGCCTACCTGTGTACACGAGTGTGAGGAGGCACCTACCTGTGTGCACGAGAGTGCAGATGCACCTACCTGTGTGCAAGAGAGTGCAGACGCACCTACCTGTGTGCAAGAGAGTGCAGATGTGCCTACCTGTGTGCACGAGAGTGCAGATGCACCTACCTGTGTGCAAGAGAGTGCAGATGTGCCTACCTGTGTGCACGGGAGTGCAGATGTGCCTACCTGTGTGCATGAGCGCAGATGCACCTACCTGTGTGCATGAGAGTGCAGACGCACCTACCTGTGTGCACGAGAGTGCAGACGCACCTACCTGTGTGCAAGAGAGTGCAGATGTGCCGACCTGTGTGCATGAGAGTGCAGATGTGCCTACCAGTGTGCATGAGTGCAGATGTGCCTACCTGTGTGCATGAGCGCAGATGCACCTACCTGTGTGCACGGGAGTGCAGATGCACCTACCTGTGTGCAAGAGAGTGCAGATGTGCCTACCTGTGTGCACGGGAGTGCAGATGTGCCTACCTGTGTGCATGAGCGCAGATGCACCTACCTGTGTGCATGAGAGTGCAGACGCACCTACCTGTGTGCACGAGAGTGCAGACGCACCTACCTGTGTGCACGAGAGTGCAGACGCACCTACCTGTGTGCATGAGAGTGCAGATGTGCCTACCAGTGTGCATGAGCACAGATGCACCTACCTGTGTGCATGAGAGTGCAGACACGCTCACTCTCCTCTCTGCCCCGCACACTGTTAAGGCTGATTTCATATTCAGTAGCTGGGTACAGCTTGGTGATGGTGAATTCTGTCACAGTGTTGGGCACCACTGAGCTGTCCAGCCGCCCCACTGAGGAAGAGCAGAAGCCACAGTTAACATTCGGTGGAATCACTTATCAACACAGCTCACAGTACAGTCCACATAGGAGCTGCTGTAGCGCTTGGCCAGGAAGCATGGATAGATGCAGGGCCCAGCACTCAGGGGGGAGGGACGAGAAGGTCCACGGGCTGGGAATGTTGAGCTTGGAGACCTCGCATGCTGGCTCCGCCCCTCATTTTATAGGCTCCTTGGAGCAAAGGAAAACGAACTACTCATTAGGTGGTCTTCTAGCAAACTGGTCTTTTTAAAGGCAGTGTAGCCCTGGCCGGTTTGGCTCAGCAGTTAGAGTGTTGGCCCGCGGACCAATGCATCTCAGGTTCGATTCCGGTCAAGGGCACGTACCTCGGTTGCAGTTCATCCCCAGCCCCAGTCAGCTCTTGTGGGAGGCAACCAGTCGATGTGTCTCTCTCACATAGATGTTTCTCTCTCTCTCCTTCCCTCCCACTCTATCTGAAGATCAATAGAAAAATCCTCGGGTGAGGATTTAAAAAATAAAATAAAAATAGAGGCAGTATAGAGGGTCTAGCTGCACAGAGTAGTTCACACAGACCAGAGACTCAGTAGCTTGGAAACTGCCCCATCTCCTCAGGGGACGTGAGTGTGTCCTCCACCAGCAGGACCTGGTGGGACGCAGGTGAGGTCTGCGCCACTTCCTCTGACTCACAACTCAGCCCGAGTGGCAGAAATCGGGCCGCCCTCACCGCGGTTCCCGCCAAGCCCCTGGTTCTGCGGGGTCTCCAGGCGCCCGCCTGCTCCCAGGGCTCTGGTCTTAGACCTCACTGTCTCAGGAGCGTGCCCACGGCCTGGCTCTCGGCAGATCTTTCGGGCTCCTCGTGCCTCACTGCAGCGGCTGGGTGACAGGGACCAGTGACCCTGCCGGTGACAGCCTGCCCTCGGGGCCGTGCGGCTCAGCCTCTCCGAGAGGAGCTGGGGAGTGTGGGCCCTGAGCGCTCCTCACCCACCCACTGTCACGCTGATGGGACGTGCCGCGGAGGAGGACGAAGCGCAAGCCTGAGGTGACATGACTCTCCTCCCGAAACCACCTCGACCCAGCTCCAATCCACTCATCTCTGAGAAATCAAAAGGCGTGATCACCTTGTGTTGGCCGATACGAGACGCGGTAGTAATCAAACGATGCGACAGGAGGGCTCCAGGACACCACCACTGAGTCCTTGGTCACGTTGCTAATTGTGATGTCTTTGGGGGGGTCAATTCCTACAAGGCAGCCGGTGGTTGTGGGAAACAGACAGAAAGCACAGAGTGAAAAAGAAATTCCTGTCCCTGGTTTTATGTGGACCAGGAGCTCATGGTGTCTCAGACCTTACTGTGTACTGAACACCATGGTCAGGCTGAAGTCTCACCTACAGCCTCAGGGGTGTGTCCCAAGCCACATTCCTGGAGGGTATTTGAATGATACAAAGTGTCTGCGCAGCAGCTGATACCTTCCTGAAGGCCAGCTGCGAATTCCTTGAAGTTTGCATGTTTCGTTTTGAACTAGGAGTTCACATGGGCATTTTCTCTTGGGCAAACCCACCTTCTCTTGGGCAAACCCAGCTCCATCTACATCCCTAATTTTTTTGGCAGCCACTTTTGGTTCAGTTTGGAAAAACTGCCTATTGAGGGATCTCAGAGAACAAGTCCAGAACAAATCCACTTTCCTAAACAGTTTTCCATTTTTACTGCGTGCTGTATTTTACTGCGCACTCGAGAACCACAGGGTGGAAGCCAGCGTGTGTTGACCCCGCCGGTCCAGCTATGAGATTCGGAGGAAGTACCCGTTGCTTCAGTGAGCAGCCACGAGATGGCTCTTCAGGACAGAAACAGGCATCTCCTCACTGTAGAAGGGTTTCCTCCTGGAGACCAGCTCTCTCCGGGGCTTTCTCCTCGCTCGTAGTGGGAGGACCCCTGGACCAACACATTTAAGCCCTGGCCTCCTCAAGACATTGGGTCCACCCTACTTTCTAAATGGAAGTTTCCCAACTTGTGCGTTTCATACGACTGCGGGAGCAGTGGTTTTCCCAGCAGCTCACAGACCCTCCTTAGCCAAACGAGACCGCCTCCCCCTCCTTGGGCGTTTCCCTTTGTAAATGGCATTGACTCGTGCTCCACCGCTTTCTGTAAAGTCGTCCGGCCTCACCTGTGGTGATGGAGCCCACGATGGGCTCAGAGGTCACGGTGCCGTGCACCGCCACCAGGTTCACGATGTACTCGGTGGCCGGCTGCAAGCCCATCAGGACGGCATGCCTCTTGGTGGCATCCAGGGAGACCTCTGTCATGTCTTCCTCTTCATCCCGGGGGCTGTAGTTCAGGATGAGTCTGTCTGCCGGAGGGGATGGGTCACTCCAGGTGATGTTCACGCTGGAGGAGGTCACGTGAGAAAAGTGCAGATGCGAGATGGGGCGGAAGCCTGGAAAGCAGAGCAGATGGACAGTTGTGAGACACACGTGCGGTGGGGGCGGGGCTCCTGGAGAGCAGAGCAGATGGACAGTTGTGAGACACACGTGCGGTGGGGGCGGAGCTCCTGGCTGGAGGAGCCTTCTGATTGCAGGGACCTGCTTTCCTTGGACCACACCTTCCCGGGCGGAGCCAGAAGCTCTACGTCTGCGCACTCCAGTCCTGTCCACTCTCCTTTCTCCAAGCCCTTGGGAGGGTCAGCCAGTGTTACCTCTGTGGCTTATTCATAGTAAGATCCACGAGCTAAAACCTCTATCCTGAAGGGAATTGCACATGATCCCATGAGTCTTCTGCATGCCCACTGACGTGGTGCAGGTAGGGAAGGACCGATGGAATCAGCCACCCTGTCTGGGCTATGAAACCAGATACAAATTTTCAGACATGTAGGTGGCCTACTTCACCTCTCTCCTTTGCTTCCAACCTTTCCCTCTTGATGACTTATCAGTGCCCCCTCTGTCTGTTCTTTCCCTACCCACATTCCTCCTTGCTCTCAAGGAAACGGGGCAAGAGCCTGGACGGCCTGCTCACACTGAGATCCGCGGATCCCTGAACCCAGCGGCATTGCGCTGCCTGGTACCTGTGAAGGCGTCCACGGTGGACTCCAAGCTCTGCTGCCGACCTCGCTCCGCAGTGACCGAGATGATGTACTCTGCCCCGGGCTCCAGATCGGTCAGGGTGTACGAGGTCCTGTCCCTGGGCACGGTGACTTCTGAGGCGATCCCAGAGGATGGGGTGAAGGTAATCCGGTAGTGGTCAATGGGGCCGCTGGCCTTGGTCCAGATGAGGGAGATGGAGGTCTCCGAGGAGGCTGTCACCATGAGGTCTCGAGGACTGTCAAGTTCTGTGGGTAAACATAAGGAGCCCATTCTGCACAGGTGCCACAGGCTGGCCATGAGGATCAGCCTGTCGTTGCTGACGCTCGGCTCATATCTCGTGAAGCACCTTCCCTGGAAAGGGGGTCGGGGGCTCGGCAAACAGATGGACAATCTGCAGAAAGGTGTTATCAGCTGGCTGCGGACTGTCAAGCTCTCCAAATTCACTGCCTCCCGGCCTTTCTCAGTCAACCAATCAGGGCAAAACGGGAACGACAGGCGGGGCCGGGCCACTCCTGGCCACGGTAGCTCCCTCCGTTCCCAGGGCCATTTGGACTGACCTGGCCACGGCTGTGCGGGCAACGAGACCCGAGGCCTCCTGGGGACCCATGTCCATGTGGTTCTCTGGTGAGGTTGTCTATGCTCAAGCCAGGACTTGTACCTAAGGGACTGGAGTGACTTGGAAATTCACCCAGGACGTGGAAGTACAGTGCTGGGTCCAGAGTAGGAAGGGTCTCGAGTGGACCTTTCCATTGCTCTTAGATTTCATAGGTCATCTCCAAGTCTAGACCTTCGTCCCTCTGGCCTTTCTGAGGGCTTCTGTGGTACTCCGTAAGGGACACCACCTTCTGCCTGCTGCGGGGTGATCGAGAAGAAATATGACCTGCTATGATGCCGACTTATTTGGGATTTTTCATCTCTGCTCTGGACGTGTCTGGACAGCCCCTTAGACTACGGAAGACCACGCCCAGATCTATGGGGAAGAGGGCGGGACCCCGTCCTGGACGTCAGTGTCAGGGGTTAGACACGGAATCAAATTGCCACCAGGAGGACGTTGTTCCCAGGCCGAGAGCTGTGGCCCAGGGACCTGCTCACTGGGAGCGTTGCCTCCACGGCTTCTCGGGGTCCCAGGCTGCCTCGGTCTAGTCCTGCACCAAGTCTCCCACTCACCGGTCCTGGCATTCATAGTGGCTGGTATGCTTTGCTGAGAGTTCATGACAGCGGATATTCCAACCCCATACTCAGTGCCAGGTACCAGATCTGTCGGTAGATACAGAAACACACGTCAATGAAGGGGTTGCTGTGGGGCAGCCAGAGGGTGTGCACCCCCACCCCGTGTGGCTCTAGTGCAGGCGAAGCAACAAACCCCCCCCGCCCCGCGTTGAGTCGGGCAGAACCCGCCAGGCCTTGCTGACCAGGCTCGCTTGCAGGGGTGGATTAGCATCAGCCTTTATCCCTTCCTCAACCCAGCCCCGCCCACTTCCTAACCCTTAGCTCTTGTCTCTCGGACACGTCCATGCTAGTGGAGGTGAACTTCGAAGTCGGACCGAGTTTGAGGTCTGCCCTTTAATATTCAGGCTCTGCCACTTTCCACTTGGGTAACTTTGATTCCTTAACGTCTCTGAGCGTCAGTTTGTGTAGAAGGGGGTGAATGATAGTATCCGATGCAGAGGGTCCCTGGGAGGATGCGATGAACCCATGTGGATAAAGTACCGTGCCTGGCTCAATGTGACAGCAGCTAATATTCTTCTTCCCTCGCTCACAGAAATTCCAGGTCTCTGAGTCATTTTCTCTGTGTTCCCCAGGCCGGTACAGGTTGGTCCTCAGCACACCTGCTGATGGTGCTGATGAAACCAGAGACTCAGGGAGTCCAGGTGTCAGCAGGGCCCTGGTCCTGGCAGGGCTGAGCACCTGTCGCTGATTGATGGGCTGATTGTGATGCCCTAGATCTGTTCAAAGCACACATTTATCTCCGTCACAAGTCCCAGGTACATCCTTGGTTGGAAAAATTAGATTACCTCTGGGACATAAACTACTTTTCCCAGGCAACTGATTGAGACCTTCAGTTGCCTATAAAGAAGCAGAACTTCTCCGACGTGGATGAAGGGTGATGGAGTGAGGGAGGCAGACAGAAATTACATGTTGCCAAGCGGATCTAACATGTAGTGTTTTCATCTGAGTGTCTTATTTATGAAGCTTAAATGAAATCTTCAATAATTTACAGTGGAATCATCTTCTTCCAGAAAATCGTGGGGCAGAATTTCAAGGGCTCCGTTCCCCGGTCCTCTGTCGGGGGCGCGGGGACGTGGGACCCACGTCACAGGCCCCTGCCTGCGCTTTCATTCCGGGTGTTCTCCGCCCGCAGGTACGACGGACGCGGTTCTGCCAGAAGAAACGTATCCGAGCCGCATCCAGGACGTTCCTACATCTGCGCTCGGAGACCCCCAGGGACTTCTCATGTTCTGGAGATCTCCTTGCTCTCTGCAATGCTCCCTTTATCTCTCCTCCGGCTCCTGGGAGGGCAGCAGAGGAACGGCCGATCCCTTTCTAGCGTTCGCGCAGGAAACGCTGTAGGAAACCGCCAGTCTCCACTTCTTACAGAACCTCCTTTGTTCAGCTTGGCGTCGGGCTGCCCTGCTCTCTGTGTGCCCAGCCTCCCCTGACTCCCCGGCGCTTGGTGCACTCACTCTCCAGGCGTTACTGAGAGGCTGGGAACCGGGACACCAGGGTGGGCTGAATGGGCATCACCCTTAATGAGACTGGAAAAAGTCTGTACTGAAGAAGGAAACTATTATTTCTCGAGCACCTGTACTGTGCCAAGCTCTGAGCTGCAATAGGTGGTCTAGAAGAATGACGAACAGGGCAGGAAGGAGGGAGAAATAAAGTTCGAAGAATTTCTCAGTGTCTGATGGTCAAGGATACTGTCATTAACGACAGTTTCTTAGAGCCCTGCAAGGCCCCTCATCGCATTCCCCCGAGCTCTGCTGGGAGGGGATTGCTGCTGAGCAGGCAGAGGCTCAGAGGGGCTCCTTCCTTGACCAAGGCCACAAAGCTCAGGTACAGTAAACGGGGCTTGGAACCCAGGTCCTTTGTTTCTTCTCCACTCCCATGTTCTACAGGACACCCCGCCTCAGGTGGTTCCCACCTGCCTCTCCTGGTTCCCGCGCCCAGCTCTTCAACAGATTAGGACACACACCTCCTGTGCCAGGTCTATGAGGCGGGGGTGGGGTGGGGGTGCGGAAACCTCTGCCCTTCGCCTCCTCTGCTCCACTTGGGTCTCTGCAGCCCCGTCCCCACCTTTCAGCCCCTGGAAGGTGGCGCCCTGTTCAGAGGGTGCCTTACTGAAGTGACCACTTGGGGTCACTGTGACTTTGCCCACAGGAGGCTGAGCACAGTCTGGCCTGGGCCCCAGGCCCGTTGCCCGACTCCTTCTCTGGTGCCCGGGCTGGTGCTTGTGCCTGGCACGTCCGGGGTGCAGAGAGGCTGGAACGAACAGGTTCCTTGGTCAGCCCTGGCGTGCCAGGTGGACCCCTCCGGGAGTCCCGGATTCCTTCACAGAAAACCCCCTGTGGACAAGCACCTCTCCGGGCTCTGCGCCCGCGGGAGCCCCCTTCTCACCGGGAGCCGCCCCAGGGGAGCGTGGATTCGGTAGAGGTCTTTGCTCCGCAGCCAGAGGGCGGCAGCTCACAGCCTGACGGGGCAGACAGAGCGTGTGGTGTGTGTCTGGCTGTATGTAGGTCTTGGTTTTCTTGCAATCCTGCGTGGTACCACGGTGCCCCTGGGTTTCCCAAGCCCTGTTGGTAGTTTTTCTGATTAGCATCTGGTGGATGGGATCGAGGCAGTGAACACGCAGAGAGGCAGGTGGGTGTCCCGTGGGGTGGGTGAGGATGTGGGGACCGGCCTGGGAGGACTGGCTTGGAGCCCTGTGCTCACTGGCCCTACGGACCAGCTCCCTTTGCCCTTCTCCTGCCTACGAGGTTCTCAAACGTGGGCTCCTGCTTGTGGGGGCGGCCAGGGAGTGTAGACAGCCAGGAGGACCCCTTTCCCTTTTCTTGGCAAAACACCACAGCTTTTGGCCTTCCCAAGACTGGGTTTGGGGAGTCACCTCCGAGGCGGGGCGTCTGCTCCCCAGCCAAATTCCAGTCCAGGGCGGGCTCTCCTCTCTCCTCTCTTCCTTCTCCTCTCCCTCCCTCCTTCCTTCCCTCCCTCCCAGGAGTTTTCTCTGTGGTTTTCACTTTGCATCGCTACCCGGGAACATGTGGTGCAGTCCCTGGTAGGTGCTGCCAATTCCAACCTCAAGGTCCCCCGATGAGCCTATAAAGCACATGTCTCTTGGGGACCCCTGAGGGACTCCAGGTACACAAGCCAAGCAGACATCACCCGGGCTGCAAGGCTGAGCTGAACAAGACATCGTTAGGGACACAGAAGCCGCCAGAATGAAGAAAAAATCACCGCGGACCCAAAGTCTCTTGTCAGAAACAAACTCACACTCCAGTGGGGATTCACTGGGCGTTGCCTAGAGACGAAGATGGAAGGAATGTTTGGTGCGTGGTGCCCAGCCTGGCCTCTGCGTTGCAAAGGCCGAGGTCTGTGAGGGGGCGGCTGGGTGGGGGGTGCATGCTGTGAGCCCCTAGCATGACTCAGAGACCCGGAGAGTCAGGAAGGGCCTGGACTCCACAACAAGGCGGGAACGGAGGCCACAGAGACAAGGGCTCCTGCAGGGAATAGCAGATACAGGTGCCAGAGGGCTCTCAGGGCTTAGGGTCAGGGTGAGAATAACGGGGTGTGAGCTTGTAGCAGGGAAGGGCCAGAAAGCCATGGATCCGGGTCTGAGCTTTGTGGGGATCAGAATCAACCAAAGGTCCAGTGGCTATTGAATGCGCCCTTGGCATTGGTCTCCGTCCTAAGTGCTTATATATACGGACGCACATGCTTCCCTTGAGCCTCATCAACCCTCGGGGAGTGCAGGTGAGGTCCCCCGGGCCGGAAACTGGAAGGAGTCTGCCCGGGGACACGCATCTGTGAAGTGGGTCTCAAACCCAAGGGGGTGACTTCAGAAGCCGTCTCGAAATGAGTGCTTCCTACCCACTCATGTGCACACAGGCCACCTGGGCTCTCCTAGAATGTGGGCTGATTCGGTGGATCTGGGAGGAGAGGCCCTGACATCTCCCGGGCGAACCCCTTGCTGCGGATCCCCACACCCCACTCTCAGAAGCAAGGTTCTCCACTCTGCCACGTGGATTCAAAGAGGTCATCCTAAACCATCCATCAGCTCACAGGCCTCTCCCTCCTCCCCTTCCTCCAACTCCTTCCCCTCTCCCCCGGCCCCCAGCACCATCATCAGCCTACGGAGTAGCTTGCTGTGTTAGAAGTGCTATCTGAAACTCACTGAACACATGATCTCATTACAGCCTCATCATGATGCTGTGTGGTGAGTGGTATCATCCCCATTTCACAGATGGTGCAACAGAGGCCTGGAAGGGTGAAGTCAAGGGCCCCAGATCACACCAGGAGCGGCCGAGCCTGGGTGCAGAGTCCCAAGTCCTGGCTCTTATTCCATGCTCCACAGAGCAGAGCTTCCAAAGACAACGGGGAGGGGGCAGAGGGGTGGGACCTCCTGCTGGGAGCCCCGATTATTATGAGGAGGGGCTAGGGAGGGTGGCAGTGGGGAGCATTGGAGTTTCCCAAGAGGGATTGCTGCAGGTGAGCCTGGAGTGAGGACCCCTCCCACCCTGGCCAGGGTCTTGTTTTATAAACCCAAACAAACAACATGTCTGGAACCAGGGAAAAAGGGGGCCCTTGGGAGCTATAAACTCTTGTCTTCAGCATCCAAGTTGGAGAGTGAGGGCAAAAACACAACTGTTTAGACCTGGGATCAAGCTTCTCCCTTACTGTGCCTCCCTTTCGTCAAGGTCCTTTCTTCTGTACCCCCGTGCCCCGCCAGTGCGGGAAAGCCAACAGTCCTTGTAATGTGCATCTCAGCAAGTACTGACATACTTGACTTCCTTATGTGCCTGTAAACTCTTCTCAAGTCACAGAGAGCCATTTGCCTTTATAAATCTCCCAGCAGTGAGCTCCCTGGGATAATTATGCGTAATATATATTTGTAGGTTAATTTCATCAGCCCAACTCTAATAAAAAAGAATCGACCTATCCAAGCCCACTTCTCAATAATAATTTTTCCTTTCCTTATAAGCCACTGACGTTCCGACTGTCCCTTGCATTCTATTTTTTTTAATAGCAGCAGCAGGGAATGGGAGGCTTTTGACTGGGCCTCGGGACTACCTTTGAGTCACAGCCCTGCCCCTTGCTAGCTTTGGGAACTTGGGCAAACTTCCAAATGCCCCGAGCCTCAGTTTCCTCATCTATAAAATGGGCATGCTAACATCCCTCGTGAGGTGTTGTGAAGGTGGAATGAGCTGTAACTCTGTCTGGAATAATACTGATGCTCAGTGAAGGGAGAGTCTTTGTTCCCCTTGGGAGAGGGAAATAATGACCAGGATGTGACTGGGTTCTTCTCTCTCTCATGATTTTATGGTGTATCCGCCATCCGAACAACCAGCCATCATCCCTGGAAATTGCTGATTGCTAAACCAGCCGGAGGCTCTAGGCAGGGGTGGGCTGCCCTTCGAATTAGTTCCCCCCTGTATCATTTCAGCTCTTCGGTGTAGCTTTAATTTTTGTGAATGTCTCCAGCTCACTGTAAAGGCCCTTCCGCCAGCTGGTCTGCTCCTGCTACATCTAATTCACCCCCATTAACCTGCTTGGTCAGCATATCCTTCCAGCTCCTGGCTGTGTTTTAGGGAGTGCGTCTGCCTGGAAAAAGCATTTATTATATTTACTTTAACTGGCCTCATTTGGCAAGACGGTCTGGGCTTTCAGTCCAGGAGGAACACAGCTCCGAGGACACTGCCCTTGTTTGCCGTGCGCACTCCTCGCTCGTCCCCCTTGTCTGCTAGGAGGGCGGATGCTTCTCCGGAAGCCGAGGAGCCGGACAGAGTCTCCGGGGGCGGGCGCGGTGGGGGCCCTGGTCCGTGGCTGCTCGGCACTGTCTCCATGTAAAACGTGTCCTGCACTCCGGTCACCGGCCTTTCGGGGAGGTCCTCCAGGCAGGTCTTCTTGGATGGGTGTGTGCGAGGCCCCAGGGGGACAGGGAACGCTCCCCGGCCAGGCATCCGGGTGACCGGCTCAGTCCGCGCTGCCATCATCTCTCCCGCTGACTCCACAGCCTTGTGACAAGTCTCCGCCTCTGGCCTTGCCCCCTCGTCCCTGCTCCACGCTGCGCACACAGCCAGGGACCACGTCACCTTGTGGAAGCGCCTCCGTGACTCCCACTCCCCTCTGTGCAGGCGCCTGCGGCCTGACCGAGCTCACCTTCCGCTGGCCTCCTGTCTATGCCCGGCACAGGGACAGTCACACGTTCATTCACTCATCCAGCTGGCCGGCCATCGCTTATCTAGAACCGAGTAAGTGCTGGACACTGTGCTGGACACGGGGCCAAGGACGAGCAGGCACTAACAGGGTCCACTCCCCACAGAACTTTAGGCTGAGGGTGGACACCGGCGATCGAAGCATCACGCCACCAGCGTGCAATGACAGACAGGGGCGCTGGGAGGTGAGCGGTAACCAGGGAGAGGGGCTGCAGGCCAGAGGGCGTGACCTCGCCCGGGAACCAGGCAGGCTCCCTGAGATGTTACCAGGGACGGATAGCTGAGCGGGAAGCAGACGGAACGCGGTGACAGGGTAGTGGCGAGCCTGACAGGCGGCAGCGGGAACAGCGTGTGAGCGAGGACAGGAGGGAGGGACAAGGTGTCTGAGGCGCTGGGAGAAGCACACCTGTGGGCCTGGAGCCCAGGGAGCATCAGGGGACGTGGCAGGAGGGGAAGCTGGGGAAGATGGCAGGAGGACCAGGCAGGCTGCGTGGGCTCTGCTAAGGTTTGGGGCTTATCCCAAGAGCAAGGGAAGTCCCTGAAATGTAAGCACCTGGGGTGCAGAATCAGAAATGCAAGACAAGACGTGGGAGGGGCTTATGCCAGGTGGGGCATGCATGGAGAGCAGTAGACAAGGAGGGCTGGGCACCTCAGAGGCTGAGTGAGTGGCATTGCTGTGGCTGGATGTGGGTGTGGGGCTGGATGTGGGTGGGGGGCTGGATGTGGGTGGGGGCTGGATGTGGGTGGGGGATCTGGATGTGGGTGGGGGCTGGATGTGGTTGGGGGGCTGGATGTGGTTGGGGGGGTGGATGTGGTTGGGGGATCTAGATGTGGGTGGGGCCTGGATGTGGGTGGGGTCTGGATGTGGGCGGGGTCTGGATGTGGGTGGGGGTCTGGATGTGGGTGGGGGCTGGATGTGGGTGAGGGCTGGATGTGGGTGAGGGCTGGATGTGGGTGGGGGGCTGGATGTGGGCGGGGCTGGATGTGGGCGGGGGCTGGATGTGGGTGGGGGGCTGGATGTGGGTGGGGCTGGATGTGGGTGGGGGGCTGGATGTGGGTGGGGGCCGGATGTGGGTGGGGGCCTGGATGTGGGTGGGGGCTGGATGTGGGTGGGGGGCTGGATGTGGGCGGGGGCTGGATGTGGGCGGGGGCTGGATGTGGGTGGGGGCTGGATGCGGGTGGGGGCTGGATGTGGGTGGGGGCTGGATGTGGGTGGGGGCTGGATGTGGGTGGGGGCCTGGATGCGGGTGGGGGCTGGATGTGGGTGGGGGCTAGATGTGGGTGGGGGCCTGGATGTGGGTGGGATGTGGGTGGGGGCCTGGATGTGGGTGGGGGCTGGATGTGGGTGGGGGCCTGGATGTGGGTGGGGGTGTGGATGTGGGTGGGGGCTGGATGTGGGTGGGGGTCTGGATGTGGGTGGGGGCTGGATGTGGGTGGGGGGCTGGATGTGGGTGGGGGCTGGATGTGGGTGGGGGCTGGATGTGGGTGAAGGGCTGGATGTGGGTGGGGGGCTGGATGTGGGTGGGGGCTGGATGTGGGTGGGGGGCTGTATGTGGGTGGGGGCTGGATGTGGGTGGGGGCTGGATGTGGGCAGGGGAGAGCTGCCGACTCAGGGCTCACTCACCGGAGAGGGTGGCTCTGCTGGTGGGACCGACGCTCTTGGGGACCAGCAGCTCGTGGTACTGCTCCCCCGCCAGGGTGCTGTACACAACCTTGTATTCCCGAACTTCCGCTTCACTGTTGTCCCACTCGAGGGCAAGGCTGGTGGCGGTGCGGGAGCCGACCCGCAGGTTCTTGGGGGCGTCAATCTCTAAAAAGAGTCAGACATCACCCGGATCACACAGGATCACGTGTGCTGGTCATGCATCTTGAACACCAGCAAGCTTTTCGGGGACAGCTCCCACTCCCAAGGCTCCGCCTCACGTGTGAGGGACCCTGGAGCTCCCCTTGGCCAGGTTGGCCACGAAAGATTCGTGGGGAGTTTGGAGAGTTTTACTGAGGAGTTAGCTATCAACCCTTCCCCCTTCCCCTGGGTCCGTTCAGAATGTCCGGCAGAATTCTAGAAATTTAAACAGAACCAGCTTGTATCGAGCCTGGGGAGGAAGGTGGGTGGGGGTGTCTTAGGTCTGGGGTGCAGTGAAATGGTTTGTTTCCCTGGGTCTTGAAGCCTGACCTCTGGGGAGGGCAGCTGAAGGGCGCCCCCTCTGGTGGGAGCTGGGCTGGGCCCTGCAACTGGTGGGTGAGCCAGGGCCCGGGCAAGGACAGATATCCAGTAGGGCCCAGGAAGGGACCTGTGGCTCTGGACTCTGGTAACAGCCGTATCTAAACTCTAAAATGTAAAGTGGTCCGGCCATGTTCCTGCTGAAAACCTGCCTCTTGCTTCCTGTTAGACCCCTGGTGGTGGCCTGCAGGCTCAGCATGCTCAGGCCCCACCTGCCCTCAGACATCACGTTGGAACACGCCCCCTTATTCACTGCGCCCCAGCCGCACTGCCTGTGTCCCCTCCCCACAACACATCGAGTTGATTCCCGTCCCGCCCCCAAGGCCTTTGCATTGGCTGCTGCTTATGGACTGTGCTCTTCCTGGACCCTCACCTGGCTTAGGTCACTGAGGGCTTGATTAAAACTTCACCTCCTCTGAGACATGTTTCTGAACTGCTCGGCATAATATCACGACTGGAACAGCCCTGGGTGCTTCTTTCCTTCCTCCTTGTCCAGGTTCCGCCCCCGGATCATGTCTCCGGAGAGCTGGGATCATGCCCATCTCGTTCATGCGGTGGCCTCGGTGCACAGGGCAGTGCTTGGCACCCAGCAGGTGTCCAGTGAGGACACGTGAAGCGACGGCATGGATATCGGCAATTCTCTGTCTTTCTTGATCCCTTAGAGCCACTAGAAAAGTCTTGTTAAGTGCTCCGGCCGTGGGCTCTGAAGGATGCCTGGGGGGAGGTGGTTCAGGGAAAGGAACCGCTTGGCCTGGAGGCGGCCGGTCCTGGCCGGGTGGCAGGCGCCATCCACGTTGACCTTGTAAGGGAATCCCAGCGTGCAGTCAGTGTGGAGCAGGTCGTGGCTCCAACTGCTGTGACTTGGGCCCTTGCGTTAGTTCCCTGGGGCTGCAACAATAGAGTGTATTGTCCTTGGACTGGAGTCTGAGATAGGTATTGGCGGGGTTGCTTCCTTCTGAGGACTGGGAGGGAGGATCTGTTCCGTGCCCGTCTCTGGTGGTTCGCTGGCAACCACTGGCATTCGTTGGCTTGTAGAGAATCACCCCAGTTCCTGCCTCATCTTCACGTGGTGTTCTCCCTCTGCATGTCCATCTCTGCATCCAAATTCCCCCTTTTTGTAAGGACACAGTCATATTGGAATAAGGTCCTGATGACCTTCTCTTATTTGATCACCCAAACAAGGTCATATACACAGGTACTGAGGGTCAGGGCTTCCATATCTTTGTAGGAGATGCAATTCAACTCATAAGAGCATTCAGGAGGGGTCTGGGCATTCGGGTTACAGCAGGTGCCTCTGGTTGGCCAAGGTGGCTGGCTGGGGGCAGTGTCCTGATGGATGTGTTCAGAGAGAAGGGTCCCGGGGCAGAAAGGGCCCCAGGACCTCCCTGGAACTGCAACCAGAGCTGTGGCGGGGCAGGGAGGGTGTGGAGATGGCCCCGGGCTTCCTGGGGCTGCTCGCTCTCCCTGCGGGCCTCGCGGAGCTTCCGCCAGGGCTCTGCGTTTTCCGAGCCGCTCTAAGACCCAGGCAGAAATCCCACTCGCCACGCAGGGAGCAAATCTCTGTTTTAATTGTCTGTGCAATTAGTGCACGCCTGGTGTTGAAACCATCACCTGGAAAAGCACTTTGGCTAATGTGAATTTAAGCGGAGTTCGGAAATGACGGAGGGCCCTACCGAGAGGGTCCGGGCACCTCATCATTCAACCGGCACCTGCCAACCCCCCGCCGGGAGGGCTCGTCGGCAGAGCTGCTCACATCTGCGCACCCCCACGCCCCTCGCCCGGTGGCAGAGCGGGGCAGGCTGAGGCCTAACAGCTGCCAAACCGCCGGGCAACCCGAAGCAGGTTCACGCGGCAATGAACCGGAACTCAGGGGGCTCCGCGAGGCAGAGCGCCATCGTCTTGGTGGGAGTTTTTCTGGGCCACCAGCCAATCCGGCCTCCATCTTGTACCCTAAACATGAAGCATGGGCCTGCCCCTGCTGCTCAAGGGTGCTCACCCCCTTTTCTGCCTTTTCGAACCCCTTATCTGAGCAAAGCACAAAGAAACCGCTTTTCGAACAAAATCCATTTTACATTTTAAAGAGAATGCAGGACTTGTGGGCCACGGGGGACCCCACAACCTGAGCAGGTGGTGTGGTGGACGGGCGAGGGGTGGGGTAGGAAAGGCCGACCTTGAACTCGCCACAAAGGGTCACTGTGTGAAGCTGCTCCCCCCGCGAGGCCCTGAGCAGTTCTGGGGAAGTGAGGGAGGAGAAGGGAAGAGAATGGACAGAATGCAGTGTCTTCATTTTTAAAGGCGTGTCCCCAGTCCCCGGGCTGCCACGGGGTGTTCAGATCCGACTGGCGCCCCGGTGGGGTGGAGCCCAGGCCAGGGGCCAGAGGGGGAAGCTGAGGTTCTCCTTTGGAAGCAGACTCTGCCGTCGCACGTCGTTGATGTCCACACTGCTCCTTTCCATAGGGAATCTTGCTCCCCTCCCTATGTGTCCTGCTGTGGAGGGGCCCACGGTGAGACTCCCGGCCTTGGGTTTAGCCGGAGGGGGGAGACTAGCCTGGTGGTGAGCTTTGCATCAGGACCTGGGCACGGCCCTTCTGGTCCCCTCTCCTGTGGGAGCTGCTATGCCCTGGAGTCAGGCCTCCGTTCCTCTGTGCTGTAGTCCGAACCTGAGGAGGCCCCCAACTTCTACCATAAGGGGGGCCTGCCCAAGTCCACAGGGGGTCAGTCTGCCAGCCTCTCTGGCTCTAACTGTAAGCTACATGCTCCCATCCAGGGGCATTTGGCCTCCATCTGCCCCATTCTTTGCCTTATTAACAGGTGGGGGATGGGGATGCTCTGTATCAAACCTTCCCGAAGCCCCTCACTGCCGACTGCACCTGGGAACAGGTGCCTGGGTGAGTGATCCTCCCTGCATTTGACTCTGTCAGAAGGTGCTGGTTCTGAGACCTCACAGATGCCAGCAGTTTTTTTGATCCCTGGGACAACTTCCAGTCGGCAGAGACATTCCTTGACATGTGACCTCCTCGGGGCGGAGAAGCCATGACTGGAAATCTGGGCTAGATAGAGACTCACAATCTGATCACAGGTCCCTGCGGACCCAGCCAGAGTGCAGGAAGCCTGTCTTTGGATGCTGCCTGTCCTATTTGCCCACTAGCTGACAGCCACGGGCTCCCAGAGAGTCAGGGGGCAGGTCCCTGTGAGGTCGGGCCTTTACCAAATATTGGTGAAGCTCTTTTATTTTATTTATTGTGGACAGTATTACAGATGTCCCCCAAGACCCCCACTGCCCTTAAGTCCCCTGTTCCCAGCCCCTGCTCCACCCTAGGCCTTCACCACACTATTGTCTGTGTCCAGTGGTTATGCATATATGTATAGAAGTTTTTGTTAATCTCTTTCCATCTCCACCCCCTCCCCCTGCCCCAACCACCCTCGGATTTATCAGCAGTCTATGCCTCCCTGCCTCTGGACCTATTTTGTTCGTCAGTTCATTATGTTCATTGGATGTACCAGTCTGAGATTTTACTGCCTATGTCTTCTAGGATTTTTATGGTTTTGGGGCTTACACTTAAGTTTTTTATTCATTTTGAGTTTATTCAAGTGTATGGTGTAAGTTTGTGGTCTAGTTTCATTTTTTTGCATGTACCTGTCCAATTTTCCAACACCATTTATTGAAGAGACTGTCTTTACTCTATTATATGCTCTTGCCTCCTTTGTCAAATATTAACTGACCATAATGATATGGATTAATTTCTGGGGTTTCTGTTCTGTTCCATTGGTCTATATGTCTGTTCTCGTGCCAGTACCAGACTGTTTTGATTACAATGGTTTTGTCGTATAGTTTGATATCCAGTATTGTGATACCTCCAACTTTGTTTCTTTCTCAAGATTGCAGTGGCTATTCGTGGTCTTTTTTGATTCCATACAAATTTTTGGAATATTTGTTCTAGATCTGTGAAATATGCTGTTGGTATTTTTTATTTTTTTTTGAAATTCTCACCTGCTGATAATTTTTCATTTATCTTCAGATGGGGGGGTGGGGGGGGGAGAGAGAGAGAGAGAGAGAGAGAGATCAATGCAAGAGAGACACATCGATTGGCTGCCTCCTATATGACCCCAAACAGGGCTGGGGACTGAAGTGCAACCAAGGTACGTGTCCTTGATCAGAATTGAACCCAAGACTCTTTGGTCTGCACACTCTAACTGCTGAGCCAAATTGGCCAAGGCTGCTGTTGGTATTTTAATAGTTATTGTGTTGAATCTATAGATTGGTTTGGGTAGTATGGACATTTTAATGATGTTAATTCTTCCAATCCATGAACATGGTATATGCTTCCATTTGTTTGTATCTCCCTCTATTTCTTTTTTCAATGTCCTGTAGTTTTTCAAGTACAGGTTTTTTACCTCCTTGGTTAAGTTTATTCCAAGGTATTTTATTTTTTTGTTGTTGCAATGGTAAAATGGGATTTTCTTTTTTTTTTTAGTTTCTCTTTCTGAGAGTTCACTATTGGTGTATAAAAATGCCATCAAGTTCTGGATGTTGATTTTGCTGAATTCATTTATTAATTCTAGTAGTTGTTTGCTGGAGTCTTTAGGTTTTTGTATGTACAATATCATGTCATCTGCAAACAATGACAGTTACACTCCCTCCTTTCCAATTTGGATGCCTTTGATTTTTTTCTTCTTGTCTGATTGCTGTGGCTAGGACTTCCAGTACTATGTTGAATAAAAGTAATGAAAGCAAATATCCTTTTTCCTGTTCTTAAGGGAAACACTTTTAGTTTTTGCTCATTGAGTATAATGTTAGCTGTAGGTTTGACATATATGGTCTTTATTATGTTGAGGTATGATTCCTCTGTTCCCACATTACTGAGAGTTTTTATAAAAAATTGGTACTGGGTTTTGTTGAATGCTTTTTTTTTTTTGGTACCTATTGATATAATCATGTTATTTTCATCCTTCATTTTGTTTATGTGATGTATCATATTTATTGATTTGCAAATATTGTAGCAGGCTTGCCTCCCTGAAATAAATTTCACTTGGTCACGGTGTCTGATCTTTTCAATGTCTTGCTGGATCCAATTTGCTAACATCTTGTTGAGGTTTTTCGCATCTATGTTCATCAGGGATATTGGCTTGTAATTTTTTTTCTATGTGGTATTTTTATCTGGTTTTGAAATTGGAATAATGCTGGTCTTGTAAAAAAGAGCTCAGAAGTGTTTCTTCCTCTTGAATTTTTTAGAATAGTTTGAGGAAGATAGGTATTAGTTCTTCTTTGAATGTTTGGTAAAACTTGCTTGTGAAGCCATCTGGTTGGTCCAGGACCTTTGTTTGCTGGGAGGTTTTTTTTTTTTTAATTACTTCTTTAATCTCATCAGTTGTTATTGGCCTATTCAGATTTTCTGATTCAGTTTTGGAAGATTGTATTTTTCTAGGAATTTGTCCATTTCGTCCAGCTTGTCCAACTTGTTGGCCTATAGTTGTTCATAGTATCTTCTTACAATGCTTTGAATTTCTATGGTGTCCATTGTTACTTTGCCTCTTTCATTTCTGATTTTATTTATTTATTTGGGCTCTCTCTCTTTGTTTCTTGATGAGTCTGGCTACAGGTTCATCAATCTTGTTTATCTTTTCAAAGAACCAGCTCTTGGTTTCATTGATCTTTCGCATTGTATTTTTCAGTCTCTCTGTTGTTTATTTCCACTCTAATCTTTATTAGGGGTTTCAGACTGCATTGCCCAACTGGGCATTCAGAGTCATGGTGTCAGGACCAGGAGTCTGGTGGTGCCAGGTAATATGTGCAGAATTGTGGGGGCAGGTCTGGGAGTCCGGGGACACTGGGTCACTGTGGTGGGGCCAGGCATGCAGGGTCGTGGCAGTGGGGCTGGTCATGACGGTGGGGCCAGATGTGCCAGGTTGCGGCAGTGGGCCCGGGTGTGCCTGGTTGCTGTGGTGGGTCCCAGCAGCTGGGGGCATTGGTTTTCAGCAGCAGGGCTGGTCATGGTGGCAGGGCTGGAGGCGCCAGGTCATGGCAGCGGTCCTAGGCATTTGGGGACGCTGGTTTGTGGCAGCAAGTCTGGACATCTGGGAGTGCTGGGTCTCAGTGGCAGGTCCAGGTGTCCTGGGCACTGGGTAATGGCAGCAGGGCCAGGTGGGCCAGTCTGTCGCCGCTGGGCCATCACAGCTGCTCCCTGCAGCCTCCTCCCAGAAAGGACCCTGTGGACCTTCCAAACTGGTGCGCTGGCCACTCCCCAGCAGCAAGTAGCACCTGGCTGAGCAGTGCCGCGCAGCAGCCGGTGGCTCCCTGCCAGGAACTCCCGAACCGTCTGCCCCGAGTCCCCACACCGACACGCAGATGCCGCCCACACTCCCACTCGCTCTCCCTCTCCCACTCCAGTCCTGCCGCTGCCATGCTGGAACCCCGGTCTAGGTGAAGTGCCCAGCAGCCTTGGGAAGCAGGGACTGGGCATCACAACAAGGCAGGCGACGTGGGCGCAGGCTGCATTCAGCTGGCTGCGGTGGAAGCCGGGCACGCAGGGGCCTCTGAGAGCGCTTACAAACGACCCAGGCACCGGACGTCAGGAGAAGGTCGGCTTCCGGCGGCACAGGTGCGGCTTTGCACGAATCCAGGGGGTGCCATCATGGAAGTGTGGTCGTGATGGATTTATAGAATTATTATAACAATTTCTGCAAACAGCAACACAGGGACCCCTTTCCTGAACTCTCCCCAAATTGCCATTCAGGCTCATAATATGGACGTGGAAATGTCTTCACGACAAGGTTTTCATTTTACAAATGAGAAAGCTGAGACCGCGGACGAGACTTGGAGCAGGTCTGGCTGGTAACAGAGGGGGGACGAGAACATGCACTCCAATGCCTGGTGCACAGTGAGCCCCTCCACCATGATGTGGCATCCCCAAGACCCTCACTTCCTCCTTGCGGGGTCTGTGGTGACCTGCTGCCCCAGCTCACGTCCTCACTCCCCCAATACCCTTCTTGCCATGACGCTACCACACGCTGGCCCATCCCTTCTCCCTCCTGAAGCCCCTCTGCCCCGCCAGGGCCTTACCTGTTGTGAACTGGGTGGTGGAGGCCTCGCTCTCATTGGTCCCGCGGGCAGCACTGACCCACACCTGGTAGCGGGAGCCGGGCCGCAGGGCCTGGACCGAGTACTGGCTCAGGGGAGGCTGCAGCCGGAAGGTGGTCCTCCCGCCTTCCCCGCCCACCAAGCCGTACTTCAGGAGGATGAAGTCGACTTTGGCTCGAGGCGGGGTCCACTCCACGAAAGCCACGGTGTCAGAGACATCGCGAACCAGGATCTGGGTGGGCCCATCAATGACTGGACGGGAAGGGTCAAACAGAAAAGAAAATTTGAGAAATGAACACTTAACATCCGCTCTCTCCTTTTCTCTTACACTAGCCTCGTCAGTCAGGGAGCGGATGGGTGTTATTCTCCCATTTCACAGATGGGGAGAGGGAGGCACAGCAAGGAGACATCTCTTTTCTGAAGATGCGGTTTGGCAGTGGGTGGCTGGCACTAGAACGCAGTTCTGCTCAGTCTTGCTGTCCCTGGCACTCCCAGTTTGGGTGGTGGGGTGTGGGGCGGGGAGGGGGCACTGACTGGCATTTTCTGGCTCAAGCCTTTCATGAGGCCCAGCTGCATTTCTGGCCCTGGAGTTCCATGGGACACCGTCCTTTCAGAAAATTATCTTTCTCGCTTCAGCTCGTTAAGAAAGTTTTCTTCCTCGTTACCCAAGAGTCCTGGCTGAGACTGGTTTTGCAATCGACCCACACTGGACCGACCCCTGCTCTGTCTCCAGAGGGGGCGTCTCCCTCCACTGGTCTCCGTCTGACCTTGAGCCTCAGACTTGCTGAGTAGGGCCTTCCCCTGGTCACCCCACCCTCTTTCTGCGTCGAGCCCAGTCCTGGTCTTTATTAAGCAGCTGGGGATTTTTGGTCCGGCACCAGCCAGAATGAAAATCACCAGACCAGTTTGGTGCCACCTGGGATGGAGTTCAAGTGAAGTTTTGTTTTTCATATTTGGGGTAACAATGCGATGGAACAGACACATCCAGATGTTTTCAGCATGCTGTAGTTAGGGTTTTCGATGGCTTGGGCCTTTTTAAATGTCATTCATCATGAAATGGGGGAGACAGCCTCCTTGCTGCTGTCCGAGCACAATGCCTGACACATGCAGACAGTCAGTCAGTGGGCGTGGAGGGGACTCCGCAGCCAGGAGAAGTCAGGGGAAGGGGTTCAATGAACTGGAACTTCTTGGGGGGAGGGGGGTATAAAAGATGTTACAGAAACTCAAAGGACCATGTAAGGCTTTGCCCTTCAGCTCTTGCCACCCCCTAAACCCTGGTCTTAATGGATGGTGCACATTAGAATGTGGTTGTGTATTTAGTGCTCTAGCGGCAGGAGGTCTTGCAATTTGCATTCCCACAATGCCCTGCCTGGAAGAAGCATCTGAGAGCCTGGTGAGGACTCCTAACTTCACAGGAGGGGGTTAGTGGAGGTCAGACCTCTGCAGAAGGAAATAATTAAACAATCGTTTTCTAAAAACAGCAGACAGGCTTGGGAGCCAACCGTAGTTTCTGCAGCCAGGCTTGGATCCTACCTTTCGTTGGCTGCTGCGCTGAGCTGAGCTGGCCCGTCCAGCCAGGGGGTGGCAGCTTGCTTTCAACGCGGGCTCTTATTTCTAACCACGCACGAGTCCTACTCAGAAAGTCAACCAGGGCAAGTATCCTCTCCATGTCTTCATGACTCTGTGCGCCATGCCAAATATCAAGTAGGATAGTTTTCTTCATTGGGGGGAAAAAAATCCTCCCTTGCTTCACCACGTGTTTCTAGATCTGGAACTTTGTATTTTCATCTTAAAACACTTCTAGACCGGGAAAAACCTGCACATTTCATAGAAATGGGGTTTGAGCAGAAGACTAAGGCAGGGCTGGACTCTCCTTCTGTATGTGCGGTCAATACTTTGGAAGACAAACATTCTGCCACTGGTATGTTCTTCCTGGCCCTCTTCCCCCTCCTCCTGGTCTTTTGTGTTCAACGAAGGCTTCTGTACCCTGCCAGCTCAGGAATGATCTGGTGCCCCCGAAACACTCCGCGTCAGAAAGGAGAATCGCAGGCGATCAAAGGTCAACTCTTCAGGTTGCAGAGAACCTCGGGGACACGGCTGTGGAACCTCGGCCCCAGCATCTGGAGAGAGTCCTGCTGGGCGCTTGCAGCTGTCAGGGCTGTGGAGACTCTTCTGACACACATCTGGATTGGAACCCTGGTTCAGAAGCCTCTTTTGGGAAGGGGCACTACTCTTCTTACTTAAAGCACCGACTCTTAAATGACTGCACAAAATAGGAAACAGATACAGGGGGAGCTGGCTGGGTTGGAGGGTGTGATCAGAGTGGGGGGGCGTAGTCAGAGGCCTGGGCATCCGTCCACTTCGTCCTTGCCTTGAGGTGCTGCATTGGCACCCCGGGGCTCTACTGGAACATAATCTGGTTTCACAATAGTTTTAAACCAACGTTGTCTCGACCGAGCATACGCCTCCCCCTGATCCTGTTTCGTTTGGATCCAGTGAGCAAAGTATGAACCACTAACCCAAGCGTCTCATTACTTAGCGCTGTGGTTCCCTTTTCTGGCCCGTGTGGCCTTGTCCTGGACTCGTGGCTGGCTTTCTTCAGTGTCAACCTCTGTCTGCGAAGAGTAAAGCGCCATCAGTATCCACCTGTCTCATTTACTCCCAGGGAAAGTCGCGTAACCTTCGGGCCTCAGTTCTCCCATCCATAAACTGAGGAGCAAAATTGATACCAGATGCTATTTATAACCGGCGGAACATTCTCCGCGAGGGCACGCACACGTGCATTATAATTGCTAATTCACAGCGCTGAAGTCGAACGGCCTTTGTTAGCCAACGAGACGATAAGGCAAAACACGGCGCAGGTCATGAGTAACCTCGAAATGATGATCTGGCGTGAGATGAACGGCGAGGAGGAAATCCTAAACCTCAGTTCACCCCGGACCGTGACCCAGCCGACACGTCCTCGTTTTTAATGACATCTACGCTCTCACTTCTGAGTGTGTTCTCTGCGCACGTGTGCACGTACCGGGTATTGGGCGCTCACGCTCACCAACGCCCTGCTCATGACGTTCTGTGCTTTATCTACTTTAATCCTCGTGGCGCGTCGATGAAGGAAGTGTCATTGCTCATCACTGTAAAGTCAGTTAAGGTCTGAGAAGGGTCGACGACTGTCTCCAAATCTCACCGTGTGTTCCAAAACTCAAGATATCGGGGGCTGACCAATGAGCTCTCTCGATGAGTAAGACTGAAAGAAGCACTGGGGATCCTGACAAAGAATTTCCCCATAGAAGACACCCCCACATTTCTGTGCTCGCAGAAGCAGTAGGACGCTTAGCATCAGGCAGAGTATCTCCACCTCCAGGCACCAAATTGTTTCAGGCTCTGGGAGAAATCCTAGCCCCTCCTTTGTCTCTATTTCCCCTCCTGGGTGACCCAGTGGGTAGCTGTGGAGCAAGTTGGGGGCACTCACCAGTGGCGACGCTGGCCGAGGTGGGGGGGCTGCGGGCTTGCTCTTTCAGTGCCACCACGTTGACAATATATTCCTCCCCAGGCTTCAGTCCCGTCTGGTTGAAGGATGTGACATCGCTGGGGAGCTGGGCAATGACCCCTCCTTCATTGTTCTGGACGGTGTGGGGAGGAGGAAGCAGAGAAAGCAAAAGAGAGTCACTAAGAGAGAAAGGTGTTCCACTGTTTGCAAATAATGATTTAAAAACGGGGACTCCTGCCCGGCTGGTGTAGCTCAGTGGATTGAGTGTATCCCATGGACTGAGAGGTCTCAGTTCAATTCCCGGTCAGGGCACATGCCAGGGTTGTGGGCTCGATCCCCAGGAGGGGGCGTGCAGGAGGCAGCTGATCAATGTTTCTCTCTCACATCGATGTTTCTATTTCTCTCTCCCTTCCTCTCTCTAAAAAATCAATAAAAACATTTTTTTTTTTTAAGGAAAGGGGGACTCCTCTGCTCCCCTCCATGAGGACAGCGGAGTGTCTAGGGTCAGGGATGACTCCCACCAGGCTCAGTGAAGAGGCCCCCCTCTAGGAGGCTTTTGCAAATGGAGAAAACCAATTTTCAAGAACATTTCTGTGGCCTTTCCTGAGTCTAATGAGTTTGCCAGTAAAAACTGGTCACGAGGCGATGGAGATCGGCTCTTGCCAAAGATGAAACGTTTGATGGTCACAGTGACATCATCAGATTTGGGGGCATTTATCCTGGTGAGCATGTCCTTGGCTACTTAGAAGAGTCGAGTTGTGTGTGTGTGGGGTGTGTGTGTGTGTGTGTGTGTGTGTGTGTGTAAACAGCTCTGTGTACACACATAGCACTTTCCAAACTAAGACATTCACAGTTTTTGTTTTTTTTTGTTTTTTGTTTTTTAATGAGCCAGAGCTATTATTCTGCGGTGTCTGCAGTTTCTCATGGTGTTACTCAGGGTGTGAATGTGTCAACGTCTTGTTTCCTCTCCACCCAGACGTGTTGGGAGTCAGTGACAACCAACCGTAAGCACCGAGAGGAGAGAAAGGAGCTGGGACAGAGAACAGCACAGAGGAGGCGAGGGACAGACCGGTGGAAGGGACAATGAGAAGGTCAACGGGATGATGTTCGGTCCAGGATTTACTACCTACCTACCTGTCTGTCTGTGTGTGTCCCTGGAAATGGGGGAGACGCAGGGCTTTTCGTGGCTCTGCCCTTCTCCCCCATTCTTTGGTCTCTTTTCACGCTTCCTGGAGAGTCTTACAGGTACTTCTCAGCCATCCTCTCCGAAACCAGGGGGCACATGCCGCCCAGTGGCCTCGGCCTACAGATCACAGAGTAGTTCTGTGTGTTTCACCGGGGCCTGCCCCGGCCAGCCCCTCTTATTTGCCATATGTTGGATCTGAGACAGACAGAGCTGCATAGTCCTATCTGCCTGGGCACTAGGGTGGCATGATTCTCCCTGCATTGCTATAAACCCACCTGCCCACCGTACTTTAGTCATTTTAACACAAATAAGACGTAACACAAAATATTTGCACGGGATGTCTGTTTGGATGCATTTAGCTTGCTGCGCCTTGATTATATCACGTCAGAGAAGAGGGGCATCCTAGGTCGGGGGCAGGGCCTCGGAGCAGGGAGGGGACACCCAGGTTCCCGGATTTAGCCTGCCACCAGCTAGCTGTCTAACTTTGAGTTCACAGAGTCTGAGTGTCTATTAACGATGCAAATGGGATGTGAAATAAAGGGTCTACTCTGCACACCTGGAGGTCTTTCGTAGCTCCAACAGCCCATGCCTCGAAGAATGGCAATCAGTCTTGTTAGCCAAAAACGTGTCCTTTGTCATTAAGTCTGATGAATGACTGAAACAATGCTCTTTGACATTGAAAGATGCAGCCAGAGAGAAGGAGTATGACTAGACACCAGCCCCCACGCGTGAGACAGTTAGGAAGAACATCAGTGGGGTCAACAAGTCCTGGGGACTCCAGCTAGCCAGGGACCGGGGGCACCTTGGAATTGCCAGTTTGAGGATTAAGAAAATAAAATACTGCTTCAAAGAATGACAAAGAATCTTGGGGTACTTTTCACTCAAAGACTAATGATGTCATTTGTGTAAGGAGATTTGTTCTCAATTCATACGCTGTAAAAGGTGTTTTTATGTTGCACCCTACCCAGGAGAGACGAGGCCTAGTGAGCTGACCTTGGTCTATCTGTGCACAGAATGGGGCTGTGGGTGACCGGGGGGCTGGCTCAGTCGGCCTTTCTCATGTCCTAAAGGGAAGCCCCAGCTTTCTGAAGGCTTGGTGTTCAGACTGACGAATCTCAGGTGGATACACCTTGGGGCAGAGAGCTGGGTGGCAGCTTTTTCCTGGTCTCCTGTCATCTAAGGCCAGCGTGCTGGGCTCAGGTCATCCCTGCTGGTCGTCCCCTCACCACACCTATACCCCCGACACCCGCAGAGTGTCCCTTTGTGTTCCCAGTGGTGTAGAGAGACATGGGGTAGAGCCTTCCTTGCTGTCCTGAGCCCGCGAGGGTACGACTACGCTATGGAAAGCCACTGAGCGGCCCGGCAGGTGAGCTTACCTTTGGGATGAAGCTGATCTCCCACCCATCGAAGGGGAAGGAGAAGGGTTCCCACTGCACCTCCACGGTGGTCTCCGTGATGGTCTTGAAGCGCAGCCCCTGAGGCGTGGAGAGATCTGGAACATAGCAATGGGGGGGACCCCGTCGTGGGGATTCTTGGCAGGGATGGAGAGCATCACCGGGGGCTCGGTCTGGGCGTGCCCCCCATGCCATGGCTGCGGTGGGCTATGCCAATCTCATCACACACACGGTGGGTCCCAGGCGCAGGGCTGGTCTGCTCCCCGGCGGCCCTCGTGCCAAGTCTCGGTGGAATACAAGACAACGTAACAAACCCAGCCTAGTAAATACTTGTTTATGCTTTCTATCCCATCATAGGTTATTACTGAAACAGAGAAGCCACACCTGCCTTTCCTTCCTGACGTGGAAAGTCTCGGCATGTCACATAATGTCTTTTTCGGAGCACCTAGCGCTGTCCTTGGGGGCGTTAAGGGATCCTGAGAGGTGGCAGATGGTTCAGGTCAGTGTTCCCATTTCACAGCCAGGAGAAGCACAGAGGGAGCTGACTGGAGATGCAACCCGTGCTCACTTCACAGCGAACGTCGGGATGCCTTCCTCGACCCTCTGATGGGCAGCGGGAGGATTTTGTTAGCTCAGGTCACCAAGTGTATGACGGCCTGAGACTTCCACTTCATGTCCATAAGCAAAGCAATGTCGTGCACAAAGACCGTAGCAGAACCTGGACTTTTTGCTCTTGTTTGACTATCTCCTTCTTTTCTCCAGTGGTGCCTTTCTTATTTCTTATCTTCTTATTATTTCTCTCTTCTCTCCCTCAGTCACCTTTGTCTCTCTTACCTTGCTATTTTCTTTCTCTCTTCCTCTCCCTCTTTTCCTATGCACACATACACGCACATGCACACGCATGCACACGCACGCTCACGCATGGACAGGGTTCGTGCGGCGGAAGGATGCTCCCTGGTGGAGTTCCGGTCCCCAGCCCTGAAACACGCCGGCGCGACTTTTCTTAGTCCTGCAGGGGGCGCTGCCCCCGACGGGACATTCCTGTTGGAAAGAGAACAGATTCTCTTTCTTCCTGGGTGGAAGCTCCCTCGTGTTTCTTGATTAAAAGGCAGGGCTGGTTCTGAGCCCGCTTGAAGGCATGTCAGGTGGCTTTGCATGATTCTGTCCTGGTCACCCGGGAGCTTGCCTGAGGGGATGCCCTGACGTGGCGTACGAAATGCCACGGGAAATGGGAACCTCGTCACTGCTCGTCCACGAGGCCCAGACAAGACGCTTGGGAGATCGGCCAGGTGCTGGTGGGGGTGACTCACGCCTCACGCCGGAGCAAGGCAGGGACAGCAGCAGACGGTGACCTGCCTCTCTCCACCACCACTGCAGATTCTGAAAACTAGCTCCCAGGCACCAGAGGAGTTGGGGGGAAAAAAAGTCAAATATAAACCGAGATAATTATAGGCATGCTTACAGAGTCAGCCTTCATAGAAAGAGTCCGACATGATAAAAGGATATGTGTCACCTGGAAAGCAAGGGACACGATGACGTCTTCAATCCTGTCCTCTCTGCCTGTCTCTGTCCTTGCATCCTGCAAATCCTCGAGAACCCCAGGCAGCTCCCACGCCGACTCTTTCAACTTTGACCTCCCCGTTTTCTGAACTTTCGCCATACTGGTCACCCAAAGGCCATCTTGTCATCGGAGACGGACATGAAATGAACCCTGATCTCTTCTCTCCTGTTTGGTGATGAGTTTCATTTACGGCCAGGGGCTCCTGGGTCACAGTCACTCCTTCTTGGGGTTCTCTGCTCCTGCTAAGATGTCTGTGACACAATTAAAATAAACGCTCGGCGTTTATCGCTGGTTCCTGGCACACAGCTCCTAGAATCCTGGGACTCTCTGGACCGATAGGATCACTTTTGTATGCTTATGAGATAGCAGGTGGCTGGGCCCCTAGACAGCCAGCCTCTAGACAAATCGAGGCATCATCAGAGGGTTGGCACTGTAGGCTTCATCTCCCAACCTCCGCGCCTTAATCAACCGAGCCTCCGTAATCAACTCTCTGTAAGAACCCTAGACAAGGGGGCAGGGCGCTTGCAGGTTGGCACACACACGTTGGTGCTGGGAGGGGGTGTGCCCAGGGAGGGCCTGGGAGCTCCAAGCACCCCCCACCCAGACCTGGCCCCACACATCTCTTCATCCGGCTGTTCCTGAGTCGTATCCTTTAGAGCAAGCTGGTAAGTAAGGCACTTTCCTGAGTTCTCTGACTTGTTCTAATGAATGATCAAATCTAAGGACGGGTTGTGGGAACCCCGTGATTTATAGCCAGTGAGTCAGAAGTTCCGGTGACAACCTGGGGCTTGTGACTGGCACCTGGGGGGGGGGATCCTCTGAGACGGAGTCCTCAACCTGTGGCATCTGACGCTACCTCCAAGGAGTGTCAGAACTGAAGTGAGTTGTAGGTTGTCCAGCTGGTGTCCGAGACAGAGAAGTGGTATTGGAGAAGATGACTGAAGAATTCAGAGGTGTGTAAAGAAAAACACCACAGTGACGTCCTAGCTCCTTCCTAGTCTCCTCCTTAACAGTCAGCGTTCACAGGATGCAGTCTTCTAAAATCTGTGCTCCAGTAAACATGCAAAATATAGATACACATCTACAGGAGTCTTCCCTTGTTATAAATAGAGAAGAAAAACATCATGTTCTCCCGGAGAGCAGTTTACTTGCCATCTCTGTCTCTTTCTCTTTTTCTCCCCATTGAATTTTTCTAAACTATGTCCTAGACCCTCAACTTGTATTATCAAACTGGGCAATCAAGATCTTTCGCTAAACAAAAGACCACTGGGACGTGCTGCCACCTCTCCACAAGAAGTGCGGCTTGTCACCTGTGGTTTGAAATAAGACCCCCCGCCCCCCCCCCCCCCCCCCCCGCTGTACACTTACCATCTGGGATGCACTGCTGAGCACGAGCTTATTGTACGTCCCATTTTAGATCTCCTGGCTTCGAATCTCTAACTAGAATCAAAGTCTATACGATTCTCATCCTTCCCTTGCGTTCTATTCGGACTCATCTTAGAACAAGCCAGAACTCAATAATTCAAGTATTTTCTGTCCTTTGGTTCTGTAATCGATGCAAGCTGCCTGCGTTTGGAAACTCTTAATCAGAAGTGCCTTTTGAGTGACAGACCCTTTCCTAAGTGGGTCACGTCAGAAGCCAGCCCCCTCGAGAGCGGCGGCTCTTGCAGGCATCCCCGAAGAATTAAGAAAAGACACGACCATACTGTCATGAATGCCCATGAGCTCAGGTAGGAGAGAGGAACAATGAGGCAGGACGGGAAAGGGTACGTACGGGTGGCCACCTTGGCAGTGATCGGAAGGCTGAGTGTGTTGCTAATGACAGCGTAGACGCTGACGTTGTAGGTGAGACCTGGCTCCAGCTCCGTGATGGTGACCCCACGCCAATCTCCGGGCACCCGCTGCTGGAGCTGGAGGCCCCCCAGGGCCGTCGGCTGGTAAGAGATCACATATTCCGTCACTGCCATCGGCCCGTCCCATTCCAGCTCAATGGACCTGTCGCTGATACCAGCCACTCGCAAGTCCTCTGGAGGGGCAGCTACCGGGAGGCAATACACAGACAGCATGAGCTCAGAGGACGGCCTTCCCCATCCTCGACTCATCTTCTTCCTCACATCTCACCCTATGTGCCCCGTCTGGAGTTCGCTTGGCCCAGTGGCTTGGGCGGCTTCTAATGCCCTCTGTGGGCAGGTTCTTGTCTTTCTGTGCTTGGCTCGCCCATCTCCCTGGGACCCCGAGTCAGTGGTGTGCTGGACTCGGCTCCTACTGACTCGTGAGAGCTGATGGTCAAAGTCTCAGGAATTTTGCAAGGCAGTTGTTAAATACAGCCGTTGTGAAAGATTAAATATAAACTGAGAACTAAGTACATTATAGTTCAAAGGTAATCAATACGCAAAACTCATCACTTTCAAATAATGTCGCTACGTCTCACTATTTCCTGTGCCCTGGAGGTCATTCCCATGGGTGTGTCTCTCTGGTGGAAGTGCTAGGTGATTGCATTCTACTGCACAGCTGTTGCTACCTGACATCAGGTGGGTAGTTTGAAATTGGCCACAGAGTGAGTATTTACACCATGGAAACTGGAAATCGCTACAAAGCAAGGCTTTTTATTCTTTTTCCTTCAGAGAGCTAGTTATTAGATAATTAACAGCATAACAATGCCCCAGATTCCTGGTAGTTTAATAATATAACACCAGATCACCCTGGAAGACAACATTTGATTTTGCAAGTGGAAATAAAAGTTTATTCCTAGTTATCTTGCAGACTCTAAGAAGCCAAACCTGTCAGCCCTGGGTATCCTGATCTACTGAAGACGTACAATAATGCTTTACTGTATCATTTTCTCTGTTCAAAGGAGACAATGTTTTAAGATCTGAAATAAATATAACTTGTGTTAAAGTTTTATTAGCCTTGATCTTGGGGATGATGATACAGAAGCATTCTTGAGGGCTTTGCTCTTCTCTCTTGCTCAGATGCTATTCAAAGACTCATCCAAGATTAAACCTCATTGACACAGCGTTTCATGTGTGATCCCGTTGGGACCTGAAGATTCATCAGGAGTGTGGTATTAAATAACGGAACCTCTCAGACCAATTAGGAGGCTAACTCCAGTGCGCCTGCAATCGGACCTGCTCATAGATGAAATCGAAGATCAGGTCAACATTTAAATAGTCACAATGAACTCGTCAATGTATACGTAGTGGAGGCTGTGGTTCGTCGAAGAGCTGCCATTGGTTTTGAACTTCTCCTCTGAGCAGTCTCACTTTTTCGGTTATAGAAGAGAGTCGGGCAGCTGCGTGGACCTGTGCGTGGAACATGTTTGTCCCCTCTGCGTGCTCACACGTGCGTCCTCAAGTCCTCAGCAGTGGCAGACATGAGGAGCCCGCACTCCTAGGAATTTGGGGCCATATATTTGCAGTGTTGAGTATCTGCTTCGATTCCTTTTGCCCCAAACTGTTCATTGAGTAAAACAGTGTAGACAGCAGAGCTTCCTCCGCTGGAGATGGCAAAGGTTGGCCGAAACAAAACATTACCAACGTATACATTTGTAAAACGAAAGAAGTGTAAATGAAATTTCAATGAACTTTCAAGTGACCGTTTAGAAGCTCATAGTTCTGATTCTGACATCATTACGCTGTGAGCTGCACGAAGAACAGTGAGTATAGTACATACAGAAGAACTCCTGGACCGGGGCTGGGGGGGATGGTATTGATCTGTGGCACCTGTCAGTAATTTGCATGATTACAGTAAGTTATGATGCACCGGGCAGGATGCTATACCCCTTCGGGTAGGTTATCTCACTTCATCCTCTCGCCAACACTGTGGGGTAGCTATCGTGACCACCCTACTTCATAGGTGAGACAGGAAGATGTCAGCAGGGCCAGGAGCTAGGGCTTGGAACCTGGACAGAGCGGGTCTGGAGTCTCCCAGCCAGGTAACAATGCCACGTCCCACCTGCATAGCATTTCACAGTCTCCAAAACCTGTTCAGACACATGCTAACTAGAATTTAAAAAAATCCATTTATAGCAGCCCATGTGAAGCAGATCGTGTAGCTATAATGATCCCAGCTTTACTGATGGAGAAACTGAGGCCCAGGTGAAGGGCCGTGCCAAAAGTCAGGGAGTCGGGTCACAGTGGGGTTGATTCCCAAATCTAGATCATTCGCAGTTAGTGTATTCTCCCGCCAGTTTGTAGAACAGGGTGCGGGTTGTGTCGGATGCCTCCTTTCATGACAAACAGCCCTCCAGGGAAAACCAGGTGGGAGAATAATTCCGCTGTCCTTCTGGAGGTGGATTCCATACAGGTGCTTCTCGTGGAGGTAAGAAACTTCTTTTTATTTATTAAATTTTTTTTTCTGTATTGATTTTAGAGAGAGAGGAAGAGAGAGAAACATCGATGAGAGAGAACATTGATTGGCTGCTTCCTGCATGGGATTGTGCTCACAACCTGGGCATGTGCCCTGATTGGGAATCGAACCAGCGACCTCCTGGTGCATGGGGTCGATGCTCAACCACTGAGCCACACCAGCCGGGCAGAAATTTCTTTTTAAAGAACGGTTCTCGAGCGCCTGCCTCCTGTGATTCACACGGATTCCAGGCTTTGTGTGTGGGACTTCTCCTATCACAGTGACAGAAATGGCCATTCCGAATGCCCAGTCACGAGCAACTCTTGGGGCGTTTGGGACAAATCAGTCTTCCGTTTTGGTTCCTTCTTCCAGAAAATGAAGCTAATAATGCTAAGAGAGGATGGTCCAAGACGAACACTTTGGGATTTTAAAGTAAAAAGAGAGGTGCAGAGGGATTTTTTATCTCGACAACTCAACCTGCCAAGTTTTCATCCTGAGACCCGAGGCTGGTGGCAGGCACTGGCCTCACTTCTGGTGAGGAGGTCGCAAGCGTCATCCACGGCCGAGGTGCTCTGGGAGTGGCATCTGGATGCAAGGACCGTCCCCCCCTGCCCTGTAACTTAGCAGGAGCTGTGTGTGCGGCGTGTCAGGAACGCACACGAAAGGACAGGATACCGAACGGGAAACACAGGATAAAGGAGCCCTATGCCTTGATGCTCTGAATTTAGGGTGGGTGCAAAGTAGTCTGAGTCTTACTTTCCACGGTTGCAACTTGGAAGCGTGGGAAGAGCAGGTGAACTGTGCGTCTGCAAAGATGCCAGGCGGTCTCGTATCCACGTCGCACCTCGGCCGAGACAGTTACACCAGCTCCGTGAAGCGTCTTGCTCCAATGAGCGCGTGATTTCAGGGGCCGAGGCTGGGCTGGCTGCGTTGCCCGCGGAGGCCGATGCCCATGAAGCCTCGGTCTGCTGGCAGTCCCGGGTCCCCGCTCTGTGGCTCCTTACCCTCGCACCGGGGTCTCGGGCAGCTCGCCGCCACTTCGTGCCCGACCTGCCGCACCGGGGAGGTGTGGACAATCGGTTTGACGTGTTTGTCTTCCCACCTTCAACATCTCATTTAAAAAAAAAATCATTTGACAGGGCTTGGTTTTCACATCAAAAGACTCTTTCTTTGTGAATGTGGCTTAAAGTGCTGGAAGGTGGCAGGTGACCAGGGTTTCCACCCTTGCTCCGCCGTGAATGAGCTGTCCGGCTCCGGGAAAGTCTTTCTGTCTTTCCAGACTGCTGCTGTTTAGGTTTGTGAAACGAGCCGTCCGGAGCAGCTTCTCTCTGAGGCCGGTGTTACGCGCTCCATGTATTTATTGTGCTCTTCTCTTTACGCGGCCGGAGGACGGAGGCGGAGAGTTGGCAGTTTCGCCCCATGGCCCACCCCAAGCAAAGGCCAAGGCCAGGAGTCCAATGTGGTGGCCTTGTCAACACTCAGTCGCACGGACCCGCTAGCAGCCTGGGGGCCCAGGGTGAACTCCGCACAGCGGGCGGCTGTCCCCCATGCCCTTCCAAAGAGGACAGAGTGACTGCGAGGAAGTCCACTGTGTGGCTGTCCATGTTCTCACTTCCTCATGCCTGTCGGCCAGGGCAGCTGTGACACAGGATGACCAGTGACGGACACCTAGGCCCCCTCGCCTACAGCCTTTTCACAAAGAGCAAGCCAAGTGGCACTTCGGATAACGACCTACACGGTCCCTGGCAGAGACCTGGGCGTTTGGTTTGAACGGTGGGTATCAAGCCCTGGCCAGTTTGGCTCAGCAGTTAGAGCGCCGCAGACCAGAGAGTCCTGGGTTCAGTTCCCGCTAAGGGCATGTACCTCGGCTGCAGTTTATCCCCGGCCCTGGTTGGGGTTGTGTGGGTGGCAGCCACTCGATGTGTCTCTCTCACACATCAGTGTTTCTCTCTCTCTCCTTCCCGCTCTCTCTCCCGCTCTATCTGAAGATAAATGCAAAAATGTCTTCAAGTGAGGATAAAAATAAAATAAAATAAAATAAAATAAAATAAAATAAAATAAAATAAAAGGCGGACCTCGAGAGCACCTCCTGCAGCGAGGGGTGGCTCCAGGGTTGCCATAGAAACAGATGGAGATGTTGTAATTGTCCATCCTCACATGCTTTGAGAACCTGTGAAGTGATTTATCTGGGCTTCCAGAACTGTTCCTCAAACAGCACAGACGGAACGTGTGGGAGGTCACCTGTGCTCATGGTTTGGACTCCACCCAGCTCAGCTATAGCTGTGCGACCAGCTGCCGAGTCTTCCCTGCTTGGCCGAGAGGGCTTACCTCCAGTTCAGTGTGGACACTGGATCAGATTTAAGATTCTGTTGGGCCCCAACCCTGGAGAAAAGCAGGTATGTATAGCCCAACAAAGGGCAGTTCCGTTCGGAAGCAGGTGGACTACAGAATAGCCAGACACAGCAGTGGCCCCAGCCGACCCTGAGCATCCTCCGATGGGGCCCCATGGAGCCGTGCCCTGTGGGTGGGAGTCAGGACCACGCTTCTGCCTCCCTCCCCAGCAACTACCTAGTGATTTCAGATTCAGAAACATTGAGGCTGAACTTCTGCTTCATTCAAAACAGTTATATACTTTTTCTTTTATAATCCTCACCTGAGGATATCTTTCCATTTATCTTTAGATAGAGCAGGAGGGAGGAGAGAGAGGGAGAGAGAGAGAAACATTGATGTGAGAGACACATTGAGTGGTTGCCTCCTGCATGACCCCGACCAGGGCCGGGACCAAACTGACCGGAATCGAACCCAAGACCCTTCGGTCTGCAGGCCGACGCTCAAACCGCTGAGCCAAACTGGCCAGGGCATGAAGGATACTTTTAAAAAGATATTTCAATTTGAAAAAAAAATTAGGAGGCTAAACTAAATAATTAAATATGGAAAAATGAAGGAACATGAAAATATATTTCCGTAAGCGGTGCACTATTCTTTGCTTGGGGTTTTGTTTGCTGCTGTTGTGGCCAATGATCTTTCGAAAGACTTTAAGTCGAAGTCACAGGCGCAGGCTGCCGGTCTGACTGGTCTGCTCTCTCAGTGGGAGTCGCTGACGATGCTGAAGAACAGAAGGCTGATCAGGAAATTCCATCCGAAGGTTTAAAATGCTTGCTTGTTGTTACTTTTTATTTTAAATCTTTCTCATGGCCACTTGCAGCCTACTGTTACAGACTGAACGGATCAAGGTGGATCGCTTGATCTGTACTATTTAAACACACACATTTAGTCGGATCCCACCATAGGATTTCAATCTGCATTTTAGGACACGACCTTTGTGTCGGTGGCCATGGCATAGACCACCGATGGGGTTGGTTCCAATTTGCTACGTGTCATCCGGAATGTGAGTTGCAACCTTTTAACATTCTGCACTAATTGTCAGAGTTGTTGCCTTCAACTTTATTACTGTTTGCGTCTCATTCCTTCGTACAGACACATTTTTCCCATGTGGATGCTAGACTATTTCATAAGTTAACAGCCTCTTACAGTAGGTGAGCTCCCAAACCAGACTAACCACCATCTCATGCGACAGCAGCAGAAAGGCCTTGTCCGGGGACATGACGCCGGGCGAGGGGGGTGTTTAGAGGAGGCGCAGGAGCCCTCAGACACCCTCTGAGTTAGCCTGGCCTTGCCTAAGGTGGTCCCATGCCCCGTCTCTCCACTTCCCTCCTCCTCAAGAACAGTGGAGTCCTGTCACTGTTGCCATTGCCTTTGTTCGGGTTCAGGAATAAGATCCACCTTTCAGCGTGAACCTGACCTTTTCTGCCCCCCGACCCCCCAAGTCTACCCCATCAATTGCCATCGAGTGAAGAAACCAGCTCTCTTGGAAAGCAAATGGGCACAACCCGCTGGGGAATGATTCTGCCTAAACTCCGCCTGCGCTCCCATCTCTCTTCCCCTGTCCAATTAGTTTGCAGCACCCAGGCCCAGCACCTCAGGAGGTGCCTCCCTACCTGCAGAGCAGTCGGGGCCCAGGTAGCCCTCCTCGCAGAAGCAGACCCCCTCCCGGCAGAGTCCTCGCCCGCGGCAGGCGTTCAGACACCTCCGCTGGCCGCAGTCCTCGCCGACGTAGCCCTCCTGGCACAAGCAGGTTCCGTTGGCGCATCTCCCCTTCCCGGAGCAGTCCCCGGGGCACCTCAGCTCGCTGCAGTCCTCGCCCGTGTAGGGCTCCTCGCACACACACTCCCCGTCCACGCAGAGCCCCCGGGAGCTGCAGTCTGAGGGGCACCGGAGCTCCGAGCAGTCGTCACCTCCGTACTCACTGTGGCAGACGCACTGGCCGTCCACACACACGCCCCGGCTGGAGCAGCCCAGGGGGCAGTAGGGCTCCGAGCAGTTCTTGCCAAACCAGCCTTCGTGGCAGACGCAGCCACAGGACTCGAGGCTGAAGTTGCCGTGGCCACTGCAGTGAGGAATATAGTCCAGTTGTCCTGGAACGGTCAAGGCAGAGGTCAGAGGGCAGCAGTGGCACCTCCTGAAAATGACGCGTGGGGAGGGGCGGGCAGGGACCGCTCCTCACTCTCTGATCCAGTATGTTGCTGAGAGTTCATCTCAACCTACGTAATCAATTTCATGAATGTTTCCCCCAATAGGGGTTGCCTGTGCCTAGCCCAGTGCTGGGGGCAAGGACAGGTGAGACCTGGTCTCCTGGATGTCAGGAGCTCACCTGCAGGGTGGGTCCCTGAGGAGGGGGCCTTGGGTGAGGATTCTGGTAAAAGTGACTTACTAGAAAGTGCTCCCAGGAAAAACTGGTTGGGGGAAGAGCGAGTCGGGGAGGGAAGGAGCCCAGGCCAGGGTCCCAGGGAAGGCAGCTTGGGTTCAGTCTTGCAGGATGCTCTGGTCATGGGGCAGGTCTCCCCTCACCTGCACTGTCCCTGGGGGTGTAAATGCTCAGGTTCCTTCATTCTCCCTCTGAGCAGGCCAAAGAAGGTCCCACAGTGTGAGAACAGCCCCTGGTAAAGACTCCCAGGTGCTCTGGGGACTGAGGGGGACCCGAGGGGATGCAGGCTGAGCGCCGGGCAAGGCTGATGGGCCACAGACACCCCGCTCAATCTCCCTCCTGCTGTCCAACTCACTCTGCTCGTCCATCACAGCTCAGCCTCAGGGTCACTGCAAAGGCCGGCCTCAGCCCCGGTCTCCCCTAGTTACTGTTCGCTGTGATCTTTTTAGGATGCTGTGCCCGTGTCTAGCCTTCACCACGCTGAAACTGCAGCGGCTAATTTATCTGTCTAACACGAATCACACCGACGTATTAAACAAACACAAACCCGGCACCTGCTCAGCATCCTTCTCTGCACTCGGCCTTGGGGACACGAAGTGCAGTAAGTTATACCCTGTTTAATTCTGTCACTTCCATCAGCCCCCGCGGCCTGAAGGGATACGACACCGACGTGGCTGAACACGGCTCCTGCGTGGAGATTTTTCCGTGTCTGCCAGGGAGCCTGGTGGGAGGCTGGGGAAAAGCCACTAAAGCCGCCCAGCTAAAAGCCACTAAAGCCGCCCAAGAGCCCGTGCTCACGGACACCTGTGACTTCCCCGAATTCTCTGCTCCGTGGAAAATGGACCTGACTGTTCTCACTGAGGAACGGGAGACTGGACTTTCTTGTCTTCTTCAGATTGTTTATTTGTAGTTTCGGTTGGGAAGAGCAGAAGGAGGGGAAAAGATCCATGACCTATTTCAGTACTCAAACACGACTCCTTCTCTCCGTGTGTCTCAGGATGAGCCCCCCAGACTGTGGGCCATCCAGGCCACCTGCTGCTTTCGTCCCTGCGAGAGCCTGGAGAAATCAGACACGGCAGCTGGAACCCAGGGTGGTGAGACAAAGCCCTGTTCTCATCGATGGCATGGCTCTAAGGGACTGTTCCCGGAGAGAAGCATGCACACAAAGCGTGAGCCAGGTTTTGCTCACTGGGGTCAGCTGGTCATGGCTACTGCTCCCATGGGACTTACTGAGGGGGGCTTTCATCTGAGTAGATGCCATTCTGCTTAACGACTCCTTGTTCTTCTAGTCTATCACCACTTGTCGTTGGGGAGAGAAAGGCACAGGTCATGGAACTTGCTTCAGGATTAAACTAGTAAATAGCAGAGTCAGGATCTGAACTCGGAGAGTCTCGATCTGAAAACGTAGTGACTCCTATCAGATAGGCACAGACAGTAACTCAAAAGTGTTACTCATCAGAGGGTGTAGCCTCCTGGACATTCAGCCATGGCAGTGGTGAGCAGTGTGAGTGTGTGAGTGTGTGTGTGTGTGCATTGTTCGTGGGTGAGCAGGTCTGCATGCGTGCATGCTGGTGGAGGGGGCAGGTGTGCATGTGTGTGCATGCGCGCATGTGTGAGTAGCTGTGCATGTGTGAGTAGGTGTGCATGTATGTGCATGTGTGCATAAGTGAACAGGTATGCATGTGTGTGCATTGTGTGTGTGAGCAGGTATGCATGTGTGTGCATATATGCGTGTGTGAACAGGTGTGCGTGTGTGTGCATGTGTGTGTAAGTGAGCAGGTGTGTGTGTATGCATTGTGCATGTGTGAGCAGGTGTGTGTGTATGTGTGTGCATTGTGCGTGTGGGAGCAGGTATGCGAGCCTGTACATGCTGGTGGAGGGGGCAGGGGCCAAAACGTCCATCTTGCTGGAGAAGACGGGGATGGGTCCTAGGAGACCTTGGTGACTATCATTTACTCCGATGGGGGAAAGGCTGTGACTGAGAGCATGCACCTCATTCTCTAGTCCCTCAGGTTAACACAGAGAGATATCAATTCAACAGCCTGTAAAAACCCAAGATGAATGAAGACAGACATCAAATTCCCTGCTCACTGCTGTGCTGAACCGATGTACCGTTACCTGACTCATTCCCCAAAAGCAGGTTAATGTGTTTCAAACCGGCTAAGCAAGCAGTGTGGAGAACAAGCCCCGAGTCCTCCAGGAAGGGATGCTGTTAGATCTTAGAGACGATGTGTCAGAGAGCTAGCTACAGACTAGGGCGCCTGTTCCCTTCTGGTGAGAGGCCGGGTTCCCTCTCCTTCCCACCCGAGGCCGGGCAGGCAGACCCTACCTGTGGCCGCACTTTCTGGGCAGCAGCTGCCGCACCGGCCCCGCAGCACCGACACCTCCCTCTCCAGCATCTCGATGCGGCTCAGCAGCTCCTGCAGCACCTGGCCTGAGCCGGCGCACGGGCAGGCCTTTTTGGGCAGGTTGATCCTGTGGGTGAAGGTGACCTGGGTCTCCTGGTCGGAGGTCTGGCCCAGGTACTCGGCCGGCGCCTCGTCTTCCGCACTCACCTCCTGCTCGGCCGAGGCCTCCAGCCCCGAGGAGCAGAGGCTGTCCAGGGGCACATTGATGTTGTACACGTGGTTGAAGACCACGGGCGGCTCTTTGTCGGATGCATTGTAGCTGGTGACGCCTCCCTCCTCCGCCGCCTGTTTCTGGCCCCCTTCTGTGGGGACCTCCAGGTGGCACTCCGAGGGCTTGAGCATGGAGCCCAGGAGGATCAGGTTGACGCCAAGGAGCATGTTCTTCAGGCCCACCGTCTCCCCGTCTGCCCCCATCCTCTGCAGAGCTCTGCGTTCAAGACCTGCCCGCAGCACACAGCACGGAGTCGTCGGAATCTGCAAGAGAAACCAGGGCTGACGTGACCTCGGAGACTGGCACCTGGTGCCACGCGGGGTACAGTCCTGCAAAGCCAAGGAGGGGGCAGCCGAAGGTTTTCAGGGGGGAGGTTGGGAAGGGCCAGGAACAGCCGGGCTCATGGAAGCCCAAGCTCGGTCCCCGGAAATGGACATTGCTCCTGCTAAAGAACGTTAATGTCCCGGACACTCATCTGGGTGCATGAGTCTGGCCCCCTGGCAAGTCCTCCAGCAAAGCGGACCTGCCGGGTGGGGGCGGGGGCTCTGTGGAGGGGCTCGGGCTCCGTGGAGGGGCTCTTTCTCCAAAGAACACATGGAGCTTCCACTTCTGGGTGAGAGTTAGGATAAAGGCATTGGGGAACCTCAGGCACACCCTCCTATGTTCCCAGATAGTTATCCTGAGGGGCCCCCACCAGCCTCTTCAAAGCAATTGATTAATACGCCCAAGCTCATCTCTTCAATACACGTCAACTTTAGAATAACCAACTGGGCAGATAATCTAGTCCCAGGTAATTGTGGTTGTTAATAATCCTTGGGTATATTTGTGATTATCTGGGACCGTGTGAGCTGAAGACTCCTTTAATCTTCTCATTAGTACAGTCCCCGTGCTCCGTGATCACCGGCTCCTTTCTTCCAGGGTCCTGTTGAAATTGCTAAAATAATAAATTAGCTCCTCTGCTGGTTCCCCAGTCACAAAGAGCCACAGAGAACAATACATTTCCTGGAATGCAAATCAGTTTTAGAAAAAGTGTATTTCTTTTTTATTCCCCACGTAGAGGAGAAACGAGCCCTACAGCTTCCGTTCTAAAGGCGGCGTTCAAGCGACGAGGAAGAGGAAGGACGAAGGGACGGCCGAGTGAGTGACTGTGAGTCCAAGGACAGGCCACACCTGGGACAGGTGCCGAGCGTGTGCTGTGTACAGACGCACTATGCACCGCACACGGGCTCTCACTTGACCTTCAGAACAGCCCTATGACGGGGCGCTGTCGTTAGTGCCATCTTACGATGGAGGAAAGCCAGAGGGGTCCAGATCTGAGCACAGAGGTGAAGAGCTGGATGCTGGAGTCAGATTGCCTGGGTCCAAACCCGGCTGCCTTGCTTTGCTTTCTACTTGTGGGCAGATCATGGAACCTCCTTGTGCCTCAGTTTCTCCATCTATAAGGTGGGGATCATAGAGTACCTACCCATGTAGTGATGGTTGAGTTAGCATCTGCATAAATACTTCACTAGAACCTGGCATTCAGTGAAATAAATAGATACAGTTTGCGGATAAGTAGAATAACTGTTCCAGTTCTTTTTAAAACAATTTTATTTTTTTATTGATTTTAGAGAGGGAGGAAAGGAGAGGGAGAGAGACATAGAAACATTGATTGGTCTCCTCCTGCATGCCCCCCACTGGGGATTTGGCCCAGAACCTGGGCATGTGCCCTGACCGGGAATCGAACTGGCCACCCCTTGGTGCATGGGTTGACACTCAACCACTGAGCCACGCTGGCCGGGCCTGTTCTGGTTCTTGCCTGATCCGATCTGATATGGCCTTGGCACTGCTGTTACGACTTTGGCTTTCACTGTGGATGTACGGTCACTGTTCACAGGTACATCTGCACGCCAAATATTTATTATGACCTAGTCTCTGTCCTTGAGAATCTCCCAGTCTCACAGAGGAGATGGACACACAAGTAAATACAATGACAATGTAGTGTGATCATGACCATGGGCAATGGGCACACGACATGCCCTGGGAGGGCTGGTGATCCCAACCACAGTACCCGGTCAGCAGGGAAATCCACTCGGAGGGGCGGGGTGGGCATCCGTCCGCTGGTCCTGTGTTTCTGGCCTGGCTTTCAGACTCGTGGTAGGACAATATTGTTCAGGACTATATTTCTGGGCCTCCTGCTGGTTAGGTGAGGCCACGCCCCTAGCACTGGCCAATGAGTGGTGAGAGGAACTGACGTGTGTCACTTCTGGGCTGGGACATTAACGGCTGATGGGAGACCCTCCGGACCTTCTTCCCTCCCATGGTGAGTGTCCACGAAGGTGGCCGCTTGCTCAGTCTGGGTCCCAGAGCTACCACAATAAACAGTCTCTGCTGCGCCACAGTGGAAGTTAGTGTGTGAGAGAGAAAAACAATCCGCTGGTTTTGGAAGCACTGATTTTGCTTCGCTTCTTCCCACCGCAGACTTAGTCTACCAGAGGAATGTGATGTCAAACTGGATTTTAATAGATTACTCTCTAGGTTGAGCAGAGAGAAGTTCATTATACACAAAAGACATTGCATGTGCTAAAACTCTGGTATGTTTTACCAGAGAACATAACATAACGTCACATAATATGACGTGACATAACATGGCTTGTTCAGTGAGTGCAAGTATTTGAAGGGCTGTTACATGCTAAAGGATGGGGCATTTCTATGGCAAAAGATCCAACGGAGGTGGTTTCCATCAAGTGGGGGAATCTATGGGGAAATAGGTTTTTGGCTCCATATAAAGAATAGTTTTTCTAATAGAGCTCCTGGGTTGTCATGATAAGTAGTGAGTTCCTGGTCACTGGAGGTATTTAAGCACAAGCAGCTAGACTACTTAGTGAGAATGCTGACGATGGCCTTTCAAGCATCCCATGAGAGATTAGACTGATATCTACATTGAGGACTTCTCCTGAATACTTTCTGGTTCATGGCCTTTGAGGAGTGTACCCAGTAAAATACTCTGTTAGTGTCCAAGGGCCACCTTAACAGATGACACAACCTGGGTAGCTTATTCTCACAGAGGCACGGTCCTGGACATTAGAAGTTCAAAGTCAAGATGTCATCAGGGTTTGTTTCTTCTGAGGGCCCCGAGGGAAAATCTGTCCCGTGCTCTCTCCTAGCTTCTGGCAATGGCCGAGACTCCTGGGGTCCTTGGCTTGTAGACCCATCACTCCAATCTGCGCGTTCATGTCCACTGCGTCTTCACGTGGCCATCCCCTTTCAAGGACATCCGTCATAGGAGATTAAGGGCCCATCACTCAGTACGATGTCATGGTAACTAATTACATCTGCAGGGATCCTATGTCCAAGCCAGGTTACTTTCTGAGGTGCTGGGGGTTAGAATGTCAACATATGTTCTTTGTGGGATATGGTGAATGATCCATAACAAATACCAACAGCTCGTCAGGCATTTACCAGGCACCAAGCTAAGAGTGTTTCTTATGTTATTTTATTCATTCCTGACAGCAACCTTATAAGAGAGGGAGGAGCGATATTCAGGAGTCGAGATACTTAATAAGTGGTGTGGCTCGGGCAGCAACCCATCGGAAGAGGCATCCCCCATCAGACGGGCGGTAACCTGTGGTGGGGTCACTATGATGGAAGGTCCTCTTGCATTTACTGAGATGAGGACAAGGAGCTTCAAGAAAGGGCCAAGGAATTTGACCCCAACTGGACAGAGGAGCCGAGACGGAGCCCAGCGCGGCTGACCACAGTCTGTCTCGGAGCTGCCGTTCCTCAGCTTGAATTAGTGGCCGCATACCCCTGTCATGAAAACACAAATCAACACTCCTACAGATCAGCCTCTCCTCTGCCGGATCAGACTTAGGACTTGCTGACAGCGACGGCTTTGAGCTTAATGTGTTCTCTACCAGCCCCGTCGACTGCCCCAGAAATTGCTCCGGTCTCCCCTCCTGGAGGGAAGGCTGGTCAGACGATGCTCAGCCTCCACTGTGCCCAGGAATCAAGAGCAATTCTAGCCCAGCAAACCTTGATCCCAGGGGAGTCGGGAGACGTGTTTTAACGTGCCCTTCCCCACGGGGCCAGTAGCTACGGAAAACCAGGGCTGGCACCCACAACCTCTGGTTTCATTCCCTTCTCTGAGCTCCCTCTGTCCCCATCAGGCCCAGTCAGCAGCCAGTGTTTTGTTTTCAAATCCTCACCCGAGGATATTTTTCCATTGATCTTCAGATAGAGTGGGAGGGGGAGAGAGAGCGAGAGCAATATTGATGTGGGAGAGACACATCAATTGGTTGCCTCCTACATGATCCCGACCAGGTCTGGGGACCGAACGGCAACTGAGGTCCATGTCCTTGACCGGAATTGAACCCACGACTCTTTGGTCCGCGGGCTGACACTAACCACTGAGCCAAACTGGCCAGGGCCCAACAGCCATGTCGAGCACCCCACAGACCTACCTGCTCCTCTCTCTGTCCCCACACTTGCTTCAGGCTGCTTTTCTGCACAGAGAGAGGTGGGTGAACAGCGTGAGGGGCTGTGTTTCCTGCCTCCTCTGAGCCCTGCAGGAGGAGGAGTGAAGCCGGCGGCCATGGACGCTGCTTCATAAATGCGCCTCAGTCCTGCCAAGCTCACTCCGCTTTGTAGTTATTTCCAAGTGGCTTGTCTTCCTTGTGTCCCTGAAAGCTTCCCCCTGGCTCTACCCTCTGCCTCCTCCTCCTAGTCCTCTGTGTCACTAAGAATGCTGCCCGTCCTGCAGGTCCCTTTCTGTGGCACTTTTCACAAGGAGTGGGCAGGTTTTAGCGACTTCCTCTGCGGAAGGCCTGCTCCAGTCCATGGCATCCCCGAGAGCTGCATTTGATACGTGTGTCTCCTGCAGAGGGGCCCCACCTGCTCTGGGACCCCTGGTCTGGCTTCGGTGTGAAGGGGTGTTTGCATCGCTAAGCTCAATGCAAGATCTGTCACCGAAAGCAAGGTGGGAGGCTGGAGAGGCCAGCACGGCCTCCTTCCCTGTCTCCCTGTCTCTCGATGCATCACCCGACCAGAGCTGGCGAGACTCCAGGACTAGAAGCAAGATGGGCCGGTCAGAGGAAAAGTGGTGGTGGGAGGAGGGGAAAGTGGGGAACAACAGAGAAGCCGGAGGGGAAATGGCAGAGCACCAGGCTGGCGAGGAAAGACAAGGGTTCTGTGGGAAGAGCGAGTAAACACCTCCCCGGGGGAC